GAAAAATTAAGGGGCCCTATGCAAAAGGTACCTGGATTTTTTACCGGGAAAGGGGTTCCGGGGGGGTTCAATGCCCCCGGGCCCCGGGGTTTTGTGACCGGGCCCTCCTGGGGGAAATCAAAAAGGGGCCGGGGATCAACCAGGTTTTTGGCTGTGGCTGCACAAAAAACCAAACGAACCGGCCCAAAAGCCCGGTGACCCGGGAAAAACTTTTTTAAAGGTGTTTGGGTCATTTTTTCCCCCCAGCTTAAAGGGACTGCGGGGTCTGTTGGTTTTAACCCCCCCTTTGTTTTGTTTGGGAGGCGTTGAACGGGGTCTCGGGCCCCTGACACTTATTGTAGGGTTCTTAACGGGTTGTGACACCCCTGTTTTCATTGGGGGGGATGGTGATCGTTCCCAAAGGGTCTTTTGCTTTTTTAGTGAGTGATTCTCGTGTGCAAGTTCGGAAATAGTCCCTCTAGGTTTTTTCCGGTGTATATAATCATGTTCTCCCCTCTGCGTTCCGGGGAAAATACAGGTTTGGGAACCTCAAGCGCTCCAATAATTGGGGTGTTTTATCTTTCCCTTTTGCGCGCCGGTGAAAGTTTTTCTGGGACAATTTCGGTATAAGCAAATTCTAGGATTAAATAGTTAACTAACTAATTAATACTCCAACCCCGGGTCACACAATTCTCAAGCCACCCTTTAATTTACCCCATACTTTTTTAACCGCCTGAGAACATTAGTCAGTCAAAGGGGGTCATTACCCAGGTCTTTTGTGATTATTTATTTATTTTTTCTGCACCCGGGAAAAAACCTAGGGATGGATAGGCCTTCACAGGACAATAAAAATGAGGGTTTAACTAAAAAACTACAGTAAAAAAAACACTGGTAAATAGGCTCCCCAATTGTGATGGCCCGAGGGGTAAAAAAGTTGCTTTGGGCGTAAACGATGCCTGGGAAAATTTTAAAAAAATGTTCACTACCCTCCTTTTATAATATTGCAAAAGTTAAGAGGTTAGGATTAAATGAAAAACTGAACCCTGGATAATTTACTGAGATATTGTTTAAAATGAAATTCAGAGACCAGCTGCTAAAAGATTTTTAAAAGGGAAAAAGGGCAGGATATTGGGAGCCCTTTAAAAGAATTCCAAAGGGGGGAGGAACAGAGTAGAGAGAAATTTAAAAAAAGCAAAAGGGAAAGCACTACTGCCAAAAATTTAAGAGTATTAAGCATAAAACCCCGAAAGCTTGGCAACAACTAAAAAATTGGGGTATAGCCATAAGCTAGTAGTTGGGGTTTAAAATAGTACTCCTATCGAAATTTAGGATATGGGACGAAAATCCTTAAAGGGGGCCCCAAATTTCTTTAATTCTTTTACACATCTGTTGCCCTCAACAAAAGAAGTAAACTTAACGCTGCAAACAAAAATTTCCCTTTAAAAACAGACTTTAAGTTTCAAAAATTTCTATACCCAATTTAAAAAGGGGAACCCCCAAAAAGTTGCAACTTGTAAGTGTTTCTCATGACTTTATTCAAAAAAAAAAACTAAACAGGTTTTAAACCCCAAATAAGAGCACAGGCCCGGGTTTAAAATCCCCGGGTTTTAAAATTCCCAAAAGATGGTGGGTTCTGAACTGTCAATTTCCCCATTTTCTCACATTAAAATCTATCAATCACCAATTTTTACCGTAAAGGGGGGGTTCAAGTAGGCCAGGTTACTCCTATCTTCAAGAAAAAATAGTTGGTTGATGTAAGCAACTATAGGCCTGTTAGTTTTTTCAGTATAATATCTAAAATTCTTGAAGGGGGGGGGTGTTTCTCAAGGAGTTTTTGGGACTTTAAAGTCAAAAAATTCTCCTTTTTGCTATCAATCGGGCTTTTGAAGATTCCCATCAACCGACCCCCCCCCTGATTAATTTTTGTTTGGGTTAAAATGGAACTGAAATGTCAAAGGGGAAACCCCAAAAAAGGGGTTTTGGTTTAAATTTTACTTGCAAAAGGCCTTCGATACTGTCATCCACCTTTTTTTTTGTTTTAAAAACTTCAAAACTTTGGTTTTAGGTTTTTGTAGGCTGGTTTAAGTCCCCACCCCTTAAACAAAAAAAGGGGTCAAATAGTCAAAATTCCCAAAAAAACAGAATCAGAACCCCCCACCCGATAAAATTGGGATTCCCCCAAAGGGAGTATTTTGGGTTTCCCCTTTTTTTTTTTGTTATGTCCAATTTTTATGCCTTTTCTGGGGTCCCGTGCAAAACTCCTACTGTTTTGCAGATGGGCAGTGCTCGTTTAGTGTAGGTAAAAACCCCCAAAGGGTATTGTTTAATTTTTTTTAACAATGGAAAAGGAAATCCTGCAGCAAATGGTTAGTTGACAACAAACTATCATTACACCTAGGGAAAACTGAAACCCTTCTCTTTGGCACCCAAAAAAATGGAAGGGTAAATAATTTTAAAGTTTAATTATTTGGGGGGCCCAACACTTTGGTTTCTCAGTAAAAAAAATTTGGGAATCCCCTTTTGGGCCCTTTATGTCGGAAATTTATGGGAACAGTGTAGTAAAAAAAGCGAATGCCAGACTGAAATTCCCGTATAGACAAGCCCCAGTGTCTACCTACTGGGGGCTCGCAGGGACCCCTTTCAGCCCTTTTTCAATGCCATATTTTGGGTTAGCTTGCTTTCTTGGTTCCTGCCTTGACAAAAAAACTGAAAATTTGATTTCAAACCACCCCGAACAAAAAACGTAAGATTCATCCTGGGGCTGGGACCAAGAAACATGTAGGCCTGGACGGGAAATTTTTCAGTTGGATATGCTGGGAAAGTTTTTTTTTTAAAACCCGGTAAAAAAACTGAAGTAAATCATGGGGTTTTTTTTTTTTTTAAAATTGCTCACAAAAACGTCCCGGGAAAATTTTTTGCTGTCAAAATTTTTTCAAATTTTGGGGAAACCCAAAACAATTTTTTTTACTAGGGGGAGAGGCACAATTTTGTAGTACCACGGGCCGTGGCCAGGTTTCAAAAAACCTTTTTTTGTACAGCAAAAAAAGGGGAAAGGAAAAGACTGCCCGCACATGTTCCCAAAACCAGTCTTTGCTGAACCATTTTAAAAAGGTTTTCAAAAGGTGTCTGATGAATGTAGCTACAGAAAGGGAGGGGAATGATTTTCTATTTTTTAGCTAACATACGTGTAAATTTTACCATATTCCTAGTAATGACCCTCGTATTGTAGATAGTCTTAATAACCTTGGTGTAGTAGATAGTCTTTTTGGTATGATAATAAGATGTTATCTTCATTGTAGAATAATAAGAAAATATTATAACCTTTATATTATAATAATAAGGTAAAAGGACCCCAATGGAAATAAGTCACTCTGTCTGACTTTTTTGGGTTATCCTAGGTTCTCTACACATATGCTGCTATGTATGATAATTCTATGTAACTGTATTTGTGTATACCTGAATAAACTTACTTACTTACTTAAAAAGGACGAAACGAAATGAACTCCTGACAGCATACACCGCTCTGCTTATCTTTTCCACCGTCAACCTTTGCCAGCATTTTTTCTCCAGGGTACGTACACCAGTTTATTTCTACATTATGTTTTCCTTATGAAAGTTGTGATCTAATGTAGTTAGACTCACAAACTTCATTTTCTCTTATAATAACACCTCTGAAGGGGAGACATTTTCATAGCAGTAGCGAGAATGCCCACAACAACTCTCTGCCCCCATCACCACTAGCCACATACATAATGACATATTTTATTCATTCTAGAGTGTATATCAGGTTTCTATGTTATTTATATTGTTTATTATGTCATATTAGATGAATTGTGATAGATAAGCCGTAGAGTTGATATTAGCGTCATATTGTCATGCCTCCTGAGAGCAGGAATTCCTCTGGAATGGATTAATGCCATTTCAATTAATTTAAATGAGGAAAATTGACTCAGCATATGAACAGGGTCACGGAACGGATTAAGTTTGTAAGCTCAGGTTCCACTGTATAACACTTGCCCTTCATTTTGAATCCGTCATCAAAAAAAAAAAGTGAAGTTTTACCTTATTTCTCGGATTAATAAAATATAACCAAGAATGATTGGTCATGGTTTAGGCCATCCCAACAATTGAAGCAGGCCTAGTAAAAACCCATAATACAAACCAGGGGGCTGGGGAGGCCTTACCCTTCAGAAAATTTGCTAAAAATCATGTGTATCATGCACTTTGCGGGGTAGGATTTATCTTATACTGTGCACACTCCTATCTAGGCCAAAATTTACTTCTCACAGCATATTTGAGATTACTGTGCTTAAAATGTAGATCTATATTAGTGACACTGGCATCAATGATGTAGAACTATGTGGGAGACAGTGAAAGTGTTAAATTAACTTTCACAATTGAACAATAAATAATAATGTATTAACATAGCTCAGAAGGAAGAACAGCACTGAAGGGATCTATGCAGATTCACCACATTTGAATATAATAATAATAATAATAATTAAAATAATAATAATAATAAAAATAATAATAATAATAATAATAATAATAATAATAATAATAATAATAATACTGTGAAGGGATTCAGGGAAACCAGTTAGCCAGACTTGAGCCCTGGTGGTGGGAAGTATAATGCCTGCACTTTAAAGGAGGGGCTTGGAATATTGGCTGTTTGGAGGGACATCTAAACTGTCGTATCTGAGCGCCTCTGCAAAGACAATGATTATGTATGAATGACAGTGAAAGTGTTGAATGATGATTAAAGTTTTTATTTTCTTTGTTGGTTTTTCTTTCTTTTTGGGTCACCCTGCCTCAGTATGAAATGGCCACCATGTTAAAAATAATAATAACAACAATAATAATAATATTTTTAAGCTGCACTGTCAAATACATAACAGCACATAAAATACACTACACTGTGTTTTTTAAAGCCAATGATACAATCTACCTGCTTTTTTCTCCTTTATTTTACACTTCTTCCTCTAATAATTTGTATGGTGCAATCATTGTACAAACCTTACATCAGCAGTACGTCTGTTGCCTCCAGCAAGAGCCAAGAGAGAGATTTCACCAAACACACTTCCCTCACCAAGGGTAGCCAGTACCACGTCACCTCGCTCTCCACCCATTACCAGGACTTGTCCAGTCTGCACAATGTACATCTCCTTCCCCACTTCTCCCTAGGGATATGTAAATACCCGAGACTGTGATGCACATCGGTTTCATTCACACTGTCACCCCAGAAACAATTAAGATACACATGTTTCTCCTTGCTTTAAGTGGATTTGCTTTAGTGAATTTGGTACTGAGATGCCCTATTTCTATTGGGTATTCAGTACAGTAAACACTACATTATTTCTATAAAGTGAAGTACAGTATACAGTTGACATTGGGTTAAGTGACATGAATAAACTATAGAAAAAAAACTTTTTATACAAAGTATTTCAGGAAGCCTTAAAATTAAGTTATAATTATTAGATAAATATACAATTAAGTTAGTTTACTAAAATGCTATAGCTTGCAATTTTGACACTTTATATACTGTAAAAAAAATTTTATGATTTATAACATTTTGAGCTCTTGCAAAAATACTATACAATCACTATAGTTGATCAATGAAGTACACAAACCATTCTGAAAATTCTTATGCAGGGTGACCTGAAAAAGAAGAAATGCTTTTTTCTTCTTTTTACATTCAGTGATTTGTACTGGAGAAGGGGTTTCTATTACAGTTCTGTACTGAAATTTAACAAATTCAAATATACATAGTTAGAGCATATTATTTTACAGAGAATAGTTAGAATCCATGAATAACTTTGATATTTATAAGCAATTATGTAAATTAAGAGACAACAGGTGTGGTGTTTGTGTATCTGTCTCACCTTCTTGCAAACATAATCTCCTGGGAGATAGAGAACAGGCTGCAGCTTGAGCACTAAGTCACGCAGCAGAGCCTTGTCACAGTCCTGAAAGAGCTGCACCTTTGACAGGATCTGAATGTGTACATTGATGGCTATGTCTGTTCGCATCTTCTTTGGTAGTGACTCTAAGCACTTCATTTCATCTAGAAGTGAATTGTAGTGATTCAAGTCATTTAGGGTAGAGTAAAAGCTAATAAGTTGTATTAAAATAGGAAATACAGTTCACTTCTGTAACCAAAAATTATCATACTCTATCAGCAAGAAAAATATTAACTACAGTATACTATTTTAATATACAGTCCTTTACACAAATAAAATCTTTTAAGTTTTACCATTCCACATACAATAATAATAAGTAATATATTCTATGCACCATACTTTTATCTCCCACAAAGACAGGGTGATGACTTAAAGAAGAAAACATAATCATCATTATTCATTCATTGCTGTCTTACCAGAAGTGTACCCACATCATAATCAGATTACAAGATTTTTTTTTAACACATCTTCCATTTCCCACTGAGGCAGGGTGATCCGAAAAAGAAGAAACGCTTTTATCATCATTCACTCCATCACCGTCTTGCCAGAGATGCACCTACACTACAGTTAAAAAACTGCAACTTATTAATATTTGTTGTTGTTATTGTTAGTTATTTTTTTTTAACTAAACAACCATCTCCTGCTAAGGCAGGGTAACCCAAAGAAAAAAACACTTTCACCAACATTCATTTAACTGCTCCCTTTCCAGAAGTGTTCTGACATCACACTCAGATTACCCTTACCTAATGCAATATCCTTACCCTTCCTTCAGAGCGCAGGATCCTTCCTCTCCACCTCCAGAACTCAAGTCCAGCTAACCAGTTATCATTCAATAACAGTGCGCATAACTTAAGCATATATTTTAGGACTGGGAATATCGGATTAAAAACATACTGTATTACAGTACATTTTAATTCAGTCTATCCTGTATACTCACCGAGGGTTTTCTGGTTCTGCCAGGTGTAGGTGAACCAGAGGCGGACCCGCTCCTGGAGGCTTGCTGGCAAGTTGAGGCCATGGAGGTAAGCATGTGTCTGGTCCATCACTTTCCGGTATTCATTCTGGTTACGGGTAGCTGTAGCCACAATATCTCGAATCTGATAACACAGAAATAAAAATAATATAAAGAATGAGCAATAAACTGATGAATATTTTTATTAAAACATACTATCATGTTTACAATTTTCCATCATATCTTATGGCTGAATATTGTATTCTAATGACAACAGTTTTGTATGCAGTAAATGGTTAATAAAAGATTTGCAAACTTATTTCGTCATAGGTCGAAAAGATATGAAGAACAATTAACCCTTAAACGGTCCAAACGTATATATACTTTTTTTCAACATCTGAAAGTATGTAAAAAAATGTAGATCTTCTTTTTTGTTTTACATTTGAAAACGTGTAAAAAAACTTTTATCTACATTTTTTTTTTGTTATATTTGAAAATATGTAAAAAAAAGTAGATCTACTTTTGTAGCACTACGAATTTAAACGTTGATCTGTTTGGACCGTTTAAGGGTTAAATGAAAACTAACACATTTCATAAATCAGTTTCAAATATAAAATCCAATCCTATATCTTTGCAACATGCACACACAACACTGGCTCTTTACATGTGGGCAGATCCTAACAATCTGCTGGATTGTATGGGACTCCATGGAAAAATACAACACTGAGGCCAAAAGTGACTGAAGTGCAAAAAAATTGTGAGAATAACCCGATGTAACAGAGAATAATGTAGATTCTAAACAGACTAGTAAAATGAGAAACTCAGTGGTGAAAGAAGGCTGGTGGTAATCAGTGGATACTTAAAGGCTCTTCTTCACAAACAGTGGCAGACCAATGAAATGGGTTACAAAAGAAGGAAGTGTTTCAACCTCTGGAAATTTTTAAAACCTTCATAACAGACTAAATACTGAAGACAACACATCACTCGCTGAACAGCACACTTACAGAATTCAGATCTCTTAAATGGCATTGGAGATTACACTATTTAGTATGACAAGCTCCCAAGTTTTGACATGATGGCCCTGTTCACAAATGCACTGTAGACCTCATAAGCTGCAAATTAAATGATGATTTGGTCATCCCTAAGTAGTAGGTTGGTAGACAGCAACCGCCAAGGGAGGTACTACCGTCCTGCCGAGTTGAGTGTAAAACGGAAGCCTTTAATTGTTCTACATTATGGTAGGATTGCTGGTGTCTTTTTTTCTGTCTCATAAACATATAAGATTTCAGGTATGGCTTGCTACTTCTTACATTTAGGTCACATTGCACATGAATGTACAAGCATATATATATATACGCCCCTCTGGGTTTTCTTCTATTTTCTTACTAGTTCTTGTTCTTCTTTCTTTCTTTCAATGCACCAGCCGTATCCCACCGAGGTGGGGTGGCCCAAAAGGAAAAAACAAAAGTTTCGCCTTTTGAATTTAGTAATATATACAGGAGAATGGGTTACTAGCCCCTTGCTCCCGGCATTTTAGTCACCTCTTACAACACGCATGGCTTACGGAGGAAGAATTCTGTTCCACTTCCCCATGGAGATAAGAGGAAATAAACAAGAACAAAAACTAGAAAGAAAATAGTAGAAAACCCAGAGGGGTGTGTGTGTGTATATATATGCTTGTACAAGTATGTGTAGTGTGACCTAAGTGTAAGTAGAAGTAACAAGACGTACCTGAAATCTTGCATGTTTATGAGACAGAAAAAAGGACACCAGCAATCCTACCATCATGTAAAACAATTATAGGCTTTCGTTTTACACTCACTTGGCAGGACGGTAGTACCTCCCTGGGCGGTTGCTGTCTACCGACCTACTACCTAGAATTACAAATACTGTATAGTAATAATTAAATAAATTTCAAAATAAGTGAACATTCAAACTGAGAATTCTTTTGTTGAACAGTACAATATTTCCTCATCAAGATTATCAACTTGAAGGAAGATGCTCTGATTTCCTGATATACCTGGAGAGGGTATTGGGGATAAATGCCCCCCTGGCCTGGTCTGTGACCAGTCCTCATGGTGGATCACAGCCTGATCAACCAGGCTTTTACTGTTGGCCACATGCAAACCAACGTATGAACCACAGCCCAGCTGGTCAGGTACTGACTTTAGGTACCTGCCAAGTGCCTTCTTGATGACAGCCAGGGGTCTATTTGTAATCCCCCTTATGTATGCTGAGAGGCAGTTGAACAGTCTTGGGCCCCTGATACTTATTATGTTGTCTCTTAGTGTACTCATGGCACCCTTGTTTTTCATTGAGGGGATGCTGCATCTCCTGCCCAGTCTTTTGCTTTCATAGGGAGCAATTTTCATGTGCAAATTTGGGACTAGTCCCTCTAGAATTTTCGAAGTGCATATTATCATGTTTCTTTCTCATCTGCATTCCAGGGAGTACAAATCAAGGAACTTCACCCATTCTCAGTAATTTAGGTGCTTTATCGTAAGAGAGATTTCGTTCGGATTTTTAACCCCGGAGGGTTAGCCACCCAGGATAACCCAAGAAAGTCAGTGCGTCATCGAGGACTATCTAACTTATTTCCATTGGGGTCCTTAACCCTTTCAGGGTCCAAGGCCCAAATCTGGAGTCACGCACCAGTGTCCAAGAATTTTGAAAAAAAAAAATTGTTATTTTTTCTTATTAAATCGTAGAGAATCTTTTTGTGAAGGTAATAAAACAAAAAGTACGAAATTTGGTGGAAAATTGACGAAATTATGCTCTCACGAATTTTGATGTGTCAGCGATATTTACGAATCGGCGATTTTGCCGACTTTGACTCCCATTTTAGGCCAATTACATTATTCCAATCAACCATATTCTTAGCTATTTCACTAGTATTACTTCTATTCTATCGATTGAGCACAAGAAATCGCCAAGTCAACTGTTTCAACTACAAAATAAAGTGATCGGAAGTTGTTAATTTGGCCAATTTAACACAAAGTTCAAAATATTCCAATTTCAAAATAGGGTCCAGAATGAACAATGTAGGCATTCCTGGCACTAAACTAACATTTTCTCTGTTCATTAGTTATGTTTTGAGGCTTTACAAATAAATTCCATTTTGATTTTTTATTCACATAATGAAGTTTTATTCACACCAAAAAATAGAAGATTTACTGTTATGAAATACTGTAATAATTGTATAAATATCATCACCATATTTGTGAATGTATATTAGACCCACCAGCTGACGTGTATTAGACGTATGAGGTCGTTTGTTTACTCTTGAATATCGGCAAAAATTTAACATTTCTGCTACTTTGAGCTCAGTTTCAAGCCATTTCCAGTGCGAAAACCAATCAAAATCATCTCTATTTCTGTAATATGTTTTCCATTCTATCAAATGAGACCAAGAAATCGCAAATACAACTATAAAAAACATACGAAAAAACACTGCAAAGTTGCTGTTTTAATCGAAAAATCATGATTTCATTTTTTTTCTCTCATTATACACAGTGTGCTGCAGGATCTGTTTTATGTGGTGCACACATACCACATAGATGTATTCTCTCATATCTAGGCCCAAATGTACCACTCACAGTTTATCAGAGTGAGCTGAGCTCATGGCGTAGATCTACGGTTTGGACCCTGAACGTAAAGCCGTAGATCTACGGGACGGACCCTGAAAGGGTTAATCTTGTCCCCCAGGATGCGACCCACACCAGTCGACTAACCCCCAGGTACCTATTTGCTGCTAGGTGAACAGGACAACAGGTGTAAGGAAACGTGTCGAAATGTTTCCACCCGCCGGGAATCGAACCCGGGCCCTCCGTGTGTGAAGCGGGAGCTTTAGCCACCAGGCCACCGGGCCACTACATGTATATGCTGTGAAAGCTCTCTGTACATTCTCCAGGTCTACAATTTTGCCTGCTTTGAAATGGGCTGTTAGTGTGCAGCAATATTCCATCCTAATAAGAACAAGTGATTTAAAGAGAATCATCATATATCATTAATATGTATGCAACCCCATAATTTGGATAAACAAAGCAAAGTTAAATGCACTTAACAAGAGATTAAATTCACAATAACTGGTTAAATGATTAAGCAAATCAACTGCCCAAGCCAACTAGCGATTGATAAAAATGATCATATTTCAACTACCCAATTATTAGGTGAAGAATGGAATTTTGCTTTACCTGGCCAATTAGCAGAGCAAAGACAAACACACCCATCAACCAGGAACATGTCATGTATAGATATTCAGCCTCATTCTCAGGTTTCGGGTTCTTGCCAATGCTGGTGGCTGTTTTAGTAGCAAAGTAGAAACACCGGATATATCTGTGGGGAGAAAATGGTAGTACAGAAATAATTTGGTCAAGTTCTACAGTCACCATATATTCATACCAACAATACTAAGTAATCTTTCACTACCGAGACTTCTTGTTATTCTCATCACCTTGCCCTTTTCTATGTTCACTTTTAATTTCATTCTTTTACATATCCTCCCAAATTCATTTACCAACCTTAGCAACTTATTTTCAGAATCTCCCAAAAGAATTATGTCATCAACAATGACAACTCCCACTCTATCAGATTCATCATTTTTTTAATCTCACATCTCTCCCTAACACCCTAGCATTCACTTCTTTTACCTTATCCATAAATATGTTAAACAACCAAGATGACATCACGATCCCTGTCTAATTCCTACTTTCACTGGAAAACAGTTGTCCTTCGTCCTAAATATCCTAACCTGAGCCTCACTCTCCTCATAAATGTTCTACTACTTTTAGTCACCTATCACCTATTCCATGCATTTGTAATATCTGCCACATTGTTTACCTATCCACCTTATCATAAGTTTTTCCTAAATCCATAATTGCAACAAACAGCTCCGAACCTAAATATCATTCACTTGCATGCTTCAATGTAAATTATTTGTGTATACACCCCCTAACTTTCCTAAATATTCTAAAAATTTCCTTTTAACTTACGCATTGCCTACACCTTGGAAAACCCATTTGTTGGAGCCAATGCCCTCAAGCTTGGAAAAGCCATAGTAGAAACAGGTGTTAAGATGAATTAAGAAGAGCATGTAGAGGACGGTTCGGATCACTCGAATGGCATGAGGTGAAGACAGTACAGAGTCCAGACGGTGAAAGAATTCCCAGAAGGTGTGAATCTGATGGAGAGATGCAAGATTTAAACAATCTGAAATAAATACAACATGATCTTCATACATTTTTATCTTGCACAAACACCTTACCTCTACTGAACTTTCAACTTCTTTCTATGCTAACCCAAACTTACATAGTTGCTTTTTTTTTTTAACCCACCGTGCATCTCTTACTGAAGTAGGGTGACCCAAAAAAGAGGAAACACTTTCACCCCATCACTATCTGATGCTACAGTTCAGATGACCCTCCAAACTACAATATCCCCACCCCTTTCAGAGTACAGGCACTGTAATGCCCACCTGCAGCACTCAAGTCTGGCTAACTAGTTTCCCACTCTCTTAATTACTGTCACCTTCCACACATTTCAACAGCATATCATATCAAGAAACCACTTGCCTCCACTCCCTTCTATCTAGCACACTTACACATGCCTGTTGCATGTCAAAGCTGCTTGCATACAAAAATTCCTTTATTGTCATACAGTACTTTTTAAACTGACCATAATGCTCTGAAATACAAACCTCAGATTGGGGTCAATAACATATAGCAGTGAACCAACCCGAGCTCAACAGCCTACAAGTGCCTCACTTACCTTTATAAGTCTGGGTAGCCTGAATACAGAGATGGGTCCAAACTTTAAGTACAGCAAATCAAGTGGCAGGAGTGATGCCAAGTCATACTGTTTGGGAGATCAAAACAGATCAGATCCAAAAGCTATGTAGCCTAACTTCATTTAGGCTAAGGAGGAGAAATTATTATATAAGTATACACACCAAGTTAACAATCTCTAATCATTTGTAAACTTTGTTCGAAGTTTTACACTGATGAGTATTACATATATTTATTTTGTTACTTTACATTATTTACAATCACAATAATAATTTTAAAACTTTACTAAATACTACATTATGCAATCATAATCACTATTCTTATTATTAATGTTATTACCATAAAACTTTGTATTTACATTAGATTTACCAAAATGCTGTGCATCCTATGGGCTTTTCTGACACTATGACTAATTGTAAGCTGGGCTTAATAACTAACTTTGTTTAAACTTAATAATTTATTTCATCAACCACTGTCCCCACCTAAATGAGAAGGCCTTCAAAATACAAGTGAGAAACTTTATCAAGTACAGTGGAACCTCGGTACTCGAACAGCTCCCTACTTGAATGATTCGGTATTTGAAAGCTTTGTTCGGTAAAAAATATCACTCGGTAGTTGACCGTTTGCTCGGCACTCGACCAAACAAACAACCTGCCAGAACTTCACTGTAAACTATTTCGTGTTTCTTCGCATTTTTTGGTGTTTTTTTATATTATTTGTATAAATAAGTCACCATGGGGCCTAAGAAGATTAATGATAACAGCCAACAAAAAAGAAAATTGATTGGGTACTCAAACAGATCGGCACTTGAACAACCTTCTGGAACAAATTAAGTTCGAGTACAAAGGTTCCAGTGTATAATGATAGAGCCCTTCACATACTGAAGTTTTCCTGACCAATCTAAGATCTCTAGATATAGCAGTCATCAGGTATATACACTTACAAGATCTTCATTATACAACTGTACAGCACATGAAAAATCAAATTATGTATCCAGTCATATAATAATAAATTTAGGTATAGTCCAATAAAAAATGTACAACACTGGTCTAATGGTATTCTATGACCACAAATCATTGACTCAATTTTATTAATCCAGAAAGCTGTAAGAGACTGAGAAAGTCTCTACATGTTACCCAAAATACAAGAGAACAAATAACTTAATAACTTACTCTAAACTTGGAAGTCTTCCAGTAATACCGACACATGAGCTTGGGTGAATCAACCCAAAAGCCGTTGTCTAAGTACATGACTCGAGACTTGAACACCACAATATCGAGGATATACACAAAGTCAGCTAGGTAATCAGCAGTAAGCCAGTAGACAAGGTTGTTGTTTGTCTGATACTCGGAGAAGACAGACCGCAGGGGAATAACCCATGCATTGTACACATAAACAATACACACAACTAGGAGCCAGGAGATATATAATCGGCCTGAGGAAAATATGAAAATTCTAATCATTATGAAAGCATAATAACCTTGGTACTATACAGTACATACTGTGGTACATGTATGAGTGGCTGTCATCTCACTTATTCTCAGTTGTTGAAACAGTAATATACAGTGGTATCCCGAATTTCAGCCACCTCCCAACTCGAACAATTATGTAAGTGTATTATTGTAAGTGCTTTTGTAAGTGCATTTTTGGGGGTCTGAAATGGACTAATCTAATTTACATTATTCCTTATGGGAACAAATTCATTCAGTAACAGCACTCGAACAGCCTTCCGGAACGAATTACAGCCAAAACTCAGGGTTCCACTGTATTAGCAAATTATTTACTCTTCATTTTTAATTCAATTTGGATTAAGTATCTGAATGCATATTAAAAATATTTAACTGATTTGTCACTAAATATTACTGATGACCAAATAATCTGTGTTTTTAATTTAGAACTCTTGTCATTCACACCTAAATCTCTTTTATTAGCATTCATATTGAAGTTAAAAACTCCACAAATGAGAGCCATTAATCATAATATTAATGGTACTAGGTTCATATTAATTATGAAGCTGGTTAATTACTTAATCAGGAGTCAGGAGTATAGTCACAAAATAAATGATAAAGGATCATCCTTAAAGTCAAGATTCTAATAACAGCTTGGAGAGATAATAAAATAAAATGAAGACACTCACTTTGGGGTTCCATAGCATGAGGGAAGGATAGTGCCTTCCTACTACCATACAGACACCGAAGCAGCTGGGCACGACGTGTGTTGACCCCTACCAGTCGGGGCAGAGAAGAGGACCTAGAGGAGACATCAGGAACAAGGGAGTCTAACCGCTGGCGTGCATCAGGGGCTTTGTGAGAATCATCACCTGAAATGGGTGAAAATTTTATTCATTAATGAGGTGCCTCTCAACAAACTTCTCCTGAGCAGCTAACTCTTTCATATATTCTAAGCAGAGTATCTGCCTGAATAAATAAAACAAGATGGCAAAATAATAAAAGCAGCATTAAGAGTAAGAGGCACTAATGATTAAAACAAAAGAATATATAAACACAAAACAGGATATAGGACAAATATTAACCAAGATGAAAACAGAAGCACTTTAAGCAGACAACCTACATACCCCCATCAGAGAGTTCAGTGGAAGGTGTGGGAGGCTGAGTTATTTGGGCCTTCACTCTGTTGGCCCGCTGACTGAATGCTGAAACTAGGTGGCGAATACGTTCTGTTACGTATCGGCTGTGTTCCAAGCTGGTACTGTTTGAAGAGTACAGTATTTTTTTTATCTTAAGCCAATTACCACTGGTTTATTAGTTTACTTAACTACCATTCTTCAATATGAAGGTTCAACCTTGCAGCCCAGTAAGGTGGAGTGAATGTATGTATCGTGTATGATGTGAACAGTTTCATGTCCAGGCCTTGAGTGAAGAAATTCCTTATCACCCTGACCACAATACAAAAATCTTTAAAATGTGGGATTAATTTTGGTTTTGAAATAGGCCATGCTTTTCTTACCTTTAGAGATACCTTAGGTATTCTTGTACTTGATAACCATAAAATAATTTAATAAATTTAATACAATATTTGGAAACAAAATGACTTTTGCAGAAGAAATTTTTTATAAAAATTATTATCTTAGGTCAATTAATGTATGAGTTTAGAAACTAACAAAAGTTGCTTTGCATGATGCTTGAGAAACTCACAAACATATAAAATAAAGACCCACAAGGATATCAACATCATCATATTTAGCCATGTACACACAAAAATAGAGGGACACAGCATTTACGTAATTCCAATAACAAAAACTAGTATAGTCATAAAGACAGCTACAGTATTACAGACTTAAACAAGACTCACACATATGCACTGGACAAACACGTGTCATTAAGACTGCTACACTGCTACTGTGTAAGACATACAAGACACCATATTCACTCAGATAAACTAGGCGAGCACCTCGTGTAACATCAACACAGGGACAATAACACAATACTATCTGCTCACAAATCACTCTTGTTGCTGCTGAGTGAGGTGGAAGACCTGAGGGGGTGAGTGAAGGAATGTTCTGAAGCAATGTTGATGGTAGGTACAGTATACCTGCCTATCCAGGGGCTGTGGCCTCCCTGTGGGTGGAGGACTCTTATTACATTACTATTTGGGATTTAACAGTAGTGGTGATCTGGTAATAATTTAAAGACCTACATGAGATAAGCAAGCTGATTTAAAGACTTGAATATTTACCACCTAACACTTGCCTCTAGTTCCAACCTTACATGCAACAATTGAGGCAAATTATATCTGCTTTATATTCTAGTCTTAAGCCAGGCTTTCCTATTTCATCCAATTCATTTTTCCAGTAGTATTATAAACCTAGATCAATTTTTTAAGACACTATATAGTATTATATTTTCTGTTGTCTGTTGAATATAATGCTTAAGTGAGCTTAAAGACAAGATCTTTCTTCTTGAAGAAATGGGCTGAGTTTAATTTTCCATCATAGTAATTATCTGTAAGTGTCTCACTTTGATCTGCCCTGATGTTGCTCATTTGAGGAGTTGTTTACCCTGTGGTCTTAAACTTGTCCTGGTATTCATGGTGGCTCAATTCTAGGGAAATTTTTTTCTACCCTGCAATGCACTCCAATGGAATATGTCTTAAAGATAGTGATGGTGATATACTAAAATGCTTCTATATAGAAAAACCTATGAAAGCTATCTCAGGTGAAAGGTGTGCAAGCAATTTTGCTAAATGGTCAAATCAATATATACAGTAAATCAACTGTCTATGCCTAGTTTACAACACATAATTGGCAATGATTCATTTCAGTGCACTAACTTCACCCTATTCCACTAATGAAATATAATAACAATATAAATGAATATAGGAAATGCAGCTGAGAGGAGAGGAATCAGTCAGAGAACATTTCAACATAGGACATGATAGAACTTACAGCACAGTATTTTGATTACTATTTCAAACCTAATCATTTACAGAAAATATCCCTAAATGTGTCCTCTGGTTACCACAAATTCTGACATACCTACACTAATGTGATTATCAATCTTAATTTTTTTTCGTGGCAAATTAAAGATTGCAAAATTAATCTTAAATTATTGTCTACGTTAAGAAAGTCAAAATAGTGTTGCCTAGCACATAGGACTTGCATTACACCCTTCACTGCTTGTTTTACCCCATGAGCAAACACCTTTTTCATACCAGAGGATTTCACACTCCAATACCAGTGAAAAGTAGGTGTGCCCATGGTACCCCTGCTTTTCACTGGGTTTACCTAACATATCCTCCCATATCTCACTCTAGTATATTGTTAGAGTAATGAAGGTTTGGGACTACACCCTCAAGTACCTTCCAAGTATATATTATCATGTATCTCTCCTCGGCTCTACAGAGTACATATTCAGGACAATGAGGCTTTACAGTAATTTCTTAATTTTACTAATTTCCATAGCTAAGAACCTTCTCTTTTTCCATGATCTTTTATATTTCTTGTTCTAATGTCAGTACTGTATTACAACAGAATATTAGATGGCACAGGGAAATCATGAAGATCATCAGATACTGACATTTCAGGTTTCACCTACAAACTAAACTTTTGTCATGCACTGTTGGTTATGCTGTCAACAGCTATTCTTTTGTACACTATAACACAGTCATAGTATATTTGTACATAGTCACTGGTATATGATCTGCTCCTTACACCTGTCTCTTCCTTACCCCATGCTTACAGAGGAAGTGGATTATTTGGTTTTCTCCTCAGTCAAACAACTATTGTTGCTGCACAATTTTACTGTCACTTTGTGGTGAATCTCACTGCAACTTTCATGTACACTAAACTGTAAACTTGTTTCAAGTCTTTCGAGTTGAATTTCATCAACAGGATGTTAGGACATTAGATAAGTGAGCACAATCCTGTAGCAAATATGATCTTTGTACCCTATAACCAACCTTGAAACTCATTCACATGAATCAGAATAGAAAAGAAATGATTCTTAATACTTTATACAATTTTTTACTATAAAATAATAATACAGTAAGGCAAGATGAAGATACCTGTGTAGATGTCAGGACTGGAGTAGCAGTACTTATAGGAGATGAGGGAGAATAATCCAGTAACCCACTATCAGAAGAGGAGCTGGGCCAAGGAACCTCGCTTCCATCATGGGTAGTGATGAACTGGTCCTCCCTCCATTGCTTTTTATTCCATTTAGAGACTTCTAAGGGATGAGAACCATTACTCATATTCTCCAAGGATATCTTTTGATGATTAGTATCAGGTGCCTGTAACTGAGTGGTAGGTGGCAATGGTGTGACACGAGTTCGACGTCGCCCAATGAGTGGGCTCATGCGTAGGCGAGATGCTGGACTTAAACGGGCACTGCCGGTTGTGCTGGGGCGTAGTGTGTCAGTAGGTGCCACTGATGTCACTTGTCCTGAACCCAGCATACCTGTTAATTTCAAAAGGGCTATACAAAATTAAATTAAATTAACAATGTCCATAACAAGCCAATAATTCAATTTAATGGTATAAGTTGGAGAAAGAGTCAACACCTGCAAACTTTTTTTAAACAAAATTATTAGGATGGTTTTGATCTTTAATAAAGGTTATCCCTTAATATACAGTAGTTCTTAAACCATTTTATATTGTATAGCTAATGCATCTAGAATGCCCTGAATGCTCTGTAGCGTTTATACAATTAATTATAATGCTTTTTTCTTAATACAAAATTGTACCTGCAGTTTTAAGGTGCTTGGGAGAGTCGTCAATAACAAAAACAGGTCGTCTAGTGGATGTATTGGTTGTATCTGCCACTGGGGTGAGTTCTGTCACAGTAACGCGAGCCTTTGGTAACACGGTAGTTGTGCGTGCTTGTGCTCCAGGCTCAGCCACCAAGGTGGCCACCTCCAGCTGCACAGGGAATGCCATCTGTAGGAATATAAATTAACAAGGTATGCTGTATGGTATGGTATATAAATTACCTAATTGTAGCTACAGATAATGAGGTATGCTTATGGTGTCCCATCTTCAATAATTTGTTCATATATTTTTTTGTTTGCAGTGGGTGAAGCACTTATTGCATCCTTTTGAAATTCATTTCATCGATCCTGGAATTTACCTGGAGAGAGTTCCGGGGGTCAACGCCCCCGCGGCCCAGTCTGTGACCAGGTCTCCTGGTGGATCAGAGCCTGATCAACCAGGCTGTTACTGCTGGCTGCACGCAGTCCAACGTATGAGCCACAGCCCGGCTGGTCAGGTACCGAATTTCGGTGCTTGTCCAGAGCCTGCTTGAAGACTGCCAGGGGTCTATTGGTAATCCCCCTTATGTATGCTGGGAGGCAGTTGAACAGTCTCGGACCCCTGACACTTATTGTATTGTCTCTTAACGTGCTAGTGACCCCTGCTGTTCATTGGGGGATGTTGCATCATCTGCCGAGTCTTTTGATCTAAGACTATTTAAGAAAAATTTCCCAGTATTCTTTGAAGCAGCTCATTACTACACAAACCTGTTTGGCAAACGATGTTGTACTTCTAATACTGCACTGAAAAATGCGATTAACTTAGTTGCAAGTCATACAAAACTGCGGTATATATGCCCGCATAACCTCTTGAGTATCTTCAATGTTAATTAAACTTGTCGAGATCACATACACTGGAAGGTTAGATCCAAGGAAGGGGAGGATAGGGTTAGTGCCTTGGCTCAAGAGTCCGTTAATGGCATCAAGGTAACTCCCACTGAAGGGGGGGAATAAATCTGTAAAAATTAATCAATTGCTGCCCACGCACATTATCAAGAACGATGCATTCTGGACAATGTCTCGCTTGATACTGACCTTCCTTTAAGGGAGGAGGGAGGGAGGGCTGTTTTGGTGCTAAAAGGCTCTTGATCCAAGGAACTGGAGCTATCCTCTTTTTCCTCGGATCAAACTTAATTATCCCACCCATCCCGTTCCCCAGGCACTGTATTATCCTTGCGAGTTTAACGCTTCCTTACGAATAATGTATAGTATAATATAGAACGATGTTGACATTTATTCAAATGTAAAGTTTTTTAACTGTATTACTTTAAATATCTTAATAAATAAAAATAAATGTTCCCACGTTAAAATATTAGTGAAAAATACTACTACCGTTACTATACATAAGTTTAGTCGCACAATACTTACTCTAATTATGGCAAAAAACGAAATGTTAATTCTCGTTTTCTTGTTTTGTCAAATTAAAACTTGAGGTTAGGAAATAACATAAACTAAATTATGCTAACTGTTCCTGTTGACAGTAATTAGCCTTTGCATATTAATTCATGTTATAACCTTCATCTAACCCACAATATTTTAATATTTAGTTATTCGCTGAAACCACTAATACTCTCATTATTATAATCACAACTAAGACTAGTGCCCTCATTATTATTATAATCAATAAGCTAGTACTCTATATTAATCACAACTAAGACTAGTATTCTCATTATTATTATAATCACAACTAAGACTAGTACTCTCATTATTATAATCACAACTAAGACTAGTATTCTCATTATTATTATAATCACAACTAAGACTAGTACTCTCATTATTATTATAATCACAACAAAGACTAGTATTCTCATTATTATTATAATCACAACTAAGACTAGTACTCTCATTATTATTATAATCACAACTAAGACTAGTATTCTCATTATTATTATAATCACAACTAAGACTAGTACTCTCATTATTATTATAATCACAACTAAGACTAGTATTCTCATTATTATTATAATCACAACTAAGACTAGTACTCTCATTATTATTATAATCACAACTAAGACTAGTACTCTCATTATTATTATAATCACAACTAAGACTAGTACTCTCATTATTATTATAATCACAACTAAGACTAGTATTCTCATGTTTCATATAATATACAAATTAATATTGCTTTAAGACAAACAATAAAATTAGAAATTACCAGCAAGTCATTATAGGGAAGCCCTAAACCAGTAGGGATCATACAGCTCCTGGAGGGAATGAGATGCAAATTCGATTTAAGGTAGTAAAGGGCAGATCTACTTTCTTGGAGCAAGACCCTCAAAGGCATCAAGATATCTTTGAGATCAGTTACGTTGACCTAGCGCTGAATAATCCACACGGGTTCAGCTTTCAGTAGTAATAACAGTAATAATTCTAGCACTATTTATACAATGCTACCCATGTTGTAACTTCATAAAATATACATCTTTCCTTATGAGGTTAAAAATTGTAAGCAATGAGACCCCATCATATATCCACCTGCAGCATGCTTCACCTGCCGACATTCCCATCACTTTTAATAGTGGTGGAATAAATATAATAATAATAATAATATAATAATAATAATAATAATATAATAATAATAATAATACATGGTACAACTTCTACAAACCTAGCTGATGTCAATTACATATAGATAGAAAGTCCCTGGTTATGAAGTGAGGACATCAGTGTGACACTCCCTCCAGCCCAGCCTCTGTCTCCCGGGAATAAACACACTGCTCATCCTTACCTCGTATGTAGTATATGTGATCAGCTATCCTCCGCCTACTATACCAGTTTTCCTCCCCATGCACCTGCTTTCCTTTGCCTCCTCCTTCAGGCTCCTACCTTCTTCCTTCTCTCCTGCGTCACTGAGGAGCACAACTGAGGGAGCCAGAGGGGAACATACTCCCTCTCCTCCCCTCCTCTCAATCATTAGATAACAACATCCCTACAACCACCATGGCTTCATATTAGACACCTCAACACCGATAGTCATTGTAAGAAATATCAGGTAAAACAAAAAACGAGTGGAGTTCAGACCAGTATAGAAAAAAAAGCTGATAATTCTTCTCCCAGGCCATCAAGAATTAAATACCGAGGTTGGGAGCTCTCTCTTGAACACGCCGTTGTCATGACTACCTCAGGAGAGGCAGCCTAACCAATTTTTACCCAAGGCTAATTACTCATCAATATTGATGTGTTATATATAATGTAAGTATGGGATACTATGTAGGCGAGGTATGGAGGTAGCATATGGGCGTAATATGGGGGTGGCGTATGGACCTGGAATGGGTGGTGTGAGCGTGGGATAGGGTGGGTGTGGGCGTGGCATGGAGAAGCGTATGGGCGTGGTATGGGGTAGTATGTGGACGTGGTATGCGGTGACATGAGTGTAGTATGGGGTGACAAGAGTGTGATATGGAATGACGTATGTGTCTGGTAAAGGGTAATGTATGAGTGTGGTATGGGGTGATGTGTGAGCGTAGTATGGAGTGACGTATGTGTGGTATGGGGTGACATATGAGTGTGGTACGGGGTGATATATGAGTGTGGTACGGGGTGATATACGAGTGTGGTACGGGGGTGACGCAAGAGTGTGGTATGGGGTAATGTATGAGTGTAGTATAGGGTGACGTATGAGTGTGGTACGGGATGACGTATGTGTAGAATGGGGTGACGTATGAGTGTAGTGCGGGGTGACGTATGAGTGTGGTACTGGTGATGTATGTGTGGTACAGGTGGTGTATGAGTGTGGTAAGGGGTGTAGTATGAGGTGACGTAAGAGTGTGGTACGAGGTGACGTATGTGGTATGGGGTGACGTATGAGTGTGGTATGGGGTGACGTATGAGTGTGGTACGGTGACGTATGTGGTATGGGGTGACATATGAGTGTGGTATGGGGTGACGTATGAGTGTGGTACGGGGTGACGTATGAGTGTGGTACGGGGTGACATATGAGTGTGGTATGGGTGATGTATGAGTGTGGTATGGGGTGACGTATGAGTGTGGTACTGGGTGACGTATGAGTGTGGTACGGGGTGACATATGAGTGTGGTACAGGGTGACATGAGTGTGGTATGGGGTAACGTATGGGTGTGGCATGGGGTGACGTATGAGTGTGGTTAAGGGCAGGGTCGCTGATGAACAGGGAAGCTTTAGGAAGAGTAGGGGATGTGCAGACCAAGTGTTTACATTGAAGCATATACAGTGAACAATATTTAGGTAAAAGTAAGGAAGTTTTCATTGAATTCATGGATTTAGAAAAGGTATATGATAGGATGGATTGGAGAGCAATGTGGCAGATGTTGCAAGTACCGTATTTTCTAGCATATAAGGCATGCCTTTTCCTCATGAAAAGTCTTGAAAAATCACCCTGCACCTTATATGCTTAAAGTCAGAATCAAGGATAGGCTTTAGGTTATGCCTCAGCGTAAATTAAGAGGGTAATTAGCCCTTGAATATTATTACTGATTTACCGTTATTTTACCTCTGTTGTGCGCCTTATATGCCAGAAAATGTGATATATGGAAGAGGTGATAGGTTACTGAAAACAGTTAAGAGATTTTATGAGGATAGTAAGGCTCAGGTTAGGGTATGTAGGAGAGAGGAAGATTGTTTTCCAGTAACGGTAGGCCTTAGACTAGGACGTGTAATGTCACCATGGTTGTTGAACATATTTATAGATGGGGTTGTAAAAGAAGTGAATGCTAGGGTGTTGGGGAGAGGTGTGGGATTACAATATACAGTATCTAATACAAAGTGGGAGTTGTCACAGTTGCTTTTTGCCTATGACACTGCACTTTTGGAAGACTACAAAGGTTGGTGGACGAATTTGGGAGGGTATGAAAAAGAAGGAAATTCAAAGTGAACATTGGAAAGGGCAAGGTGATAAGGGTAACAAGTGATTTAGGAAATGGAATATTGGTTATCAGGCTGGGAGGGAGTATGGAGGAAGTGAATGTGTTCAGATATTGGGAGTGGACTTGTCGGTGGATAGGTATATGAAAGACAAGATGAACCATAGAACTGATAAGGGGGAAAATGTGGGTGGTGCACTGAGGCATCTGTGAGACAAAGAATGTTTTCCATAGAGGCAAAGAAGGGAATGTATGAGAGTATAGTGTATCAACACTCATATGGGTGTGAAGCATGGGTTGTGAATGTTGCAGAAAGGAGGCTAGAGGCAGTGGAGATGTTGTATCTGAGGGCAATGTGTGGAGGGTATTTTCCAGAGGGTTGAGGAGGGGTTTACCTGGAGAGAGTTTTGGGGGCCAACACCCGGTCTGAGACCAGGTGTTGGCCTCATGGTGGATCAGGGTCTGATCAACCAGGCTGTTACTGCTGGCCGCATGCAAGCTGATGTATGAACCACAGCCCGGTTGGTCAGGTACTGACTTTAGGTGCCTGTCCAGTGCCTTCTTGAAGACAGCCAGGGGTCTATTGGTAATCTCCCTTATGTATGCTGGGAGGCAACTGAAGTCTTGGGCCCTGGACACTTACCGTGTTGTCTCTCAATGTACTCGTGGCACCCCTGCTTTTCATCGGGGGAATGTTGCATCTCCTGCTGAGTCTTGCTTTCATAGGGAGTGATTTTCGTGTGCAGGTTTGGTACCAATCCCTCCAGGACCTTCCAAGTGTATATTATCATGTATCTCTCTCGCCTGCACTCGAGAGAATACAGATCAAGGACCTTCAACCGTTCCCAGTAGTTTAGGTGCTTTATTGTACTTATGTGTGCCATGAAAGTTATTTGTACACTCTCCAGGTCTGCAATGTCGCCAGCCTTGAAGGGGGCCGTTAGTGTACAACAGTATTCCAGTCTAGAGAGCACAAGTGATTTGAAGAGAATCATCATGGGCTTGGTGTCCCTAGTTTTGAAGGTTCTCATTATCCATCCTATCCTTTTCCTAGTGGATGAGGTAGATGCATTGTTGTTGTCTTTGAAGGCAAGATCCTCTGACATTATCACTCCCAGGTCCTTCACATTACTTTTCCACTCTATTGTACAGTTAGAATTTGTTGTATACCCTGACACATTTTTAATTTCTTCAAGTTTCCCACATCTGAGTAGTTGAAATTTCTCCTCGTTGACCTTCATATTGTTTTGAGTGGCCCATTCGAAGATTTGGTTGATGTTCGCTTGGAGTCTCGCAGTGTCTTCGATGGAGGTCACTGCCATGGTAATCCAGGTGTCATCCGCAAAGGAAGACTCGGAGCTATGGCTTACCTCTCTGTCTATATCAGAAATGAGGATGAGGAATAGAATGGAAGCGAGTACTGTGCCTTGTGGAACAGAGCTTTTTACCGTGGCTGCCCGGGACTTTACTCTGTTTACTATTACTCTTTGTGTTCCATTTGTCAGGAAGTTGTAGATCCATCTACACAACTTTTCCCGTTATTCCTTTGTTATGCATTTTGTGTGCTATTACACCATGGTCATGGGTTGTTGAGGTGCTTTGAACATTTAGAGAGAATGGAGCAAAATAGGATGGCTTGAAGTGTATAAATCTGTAGTGAAGGGAAGACATGGCAGAGGTGACCCTAGGAAAGGTTGGAGGGATGGGGTACAGGAGGCTTTGTGTGCAAGGGGCTTGGACATCCAGCAGTCATGTGTGAGCGTGTTAGATAGTAGTGGGGACAAATGGTTTTTGGGACTTGATGTGCTGTTGGGGTGTATGTAAAGTAACATTTTGTGAAAGTATTCAGGGAAACTGGTAAGTCAGGCTTGAGTTCTGGAGGTGGAAAGTACAGTGCCTGCACTTTGAAGGAGGGGTGGGGATATTTGTGGTTTGGAGGGGCATCTGAAATGTAATATCTGCATGCCTCTGACAACACAGTGATAGAGTGAATGATGGTCACCCTACCTCAGTGAGAGATGGCCAGTGTTAAAAAAAATATTAACAAACATACACATACAGCAATCATAAGGAAAGGAATGAGATTGCTCTAGCCTTTTTTTTTTTATTGCAAACTGCAAATACTTCTTCAGGAACAATAAAAGAAAAAGAAAAGTAATGGGACTCTCAGTAATAGTTTAGACACAGGCATGCACTTAGGAATGTAAGCTTGTCCAGAAAGACTAAGAGCAGCACCTGCCCTTCCATTTCATATGCACTAGATAGAATAGTTGTTTAGGAACATTTTAAAACAAATAAGCATTGACAGCAAAGTTAAGGGGCATGATCTACAAGGAGAGGCCTAATGACAATGGAAGACAGAAAAACCAGGGAGGACATGATAATAACATACAAAATACTCAGGGGAATTGATAAAGGAGATAGGGGTAGACTGTTTGAGAGGTGAGAAATGGGAACTTGGGGACACCACTGGAAGTTAAAGTCACAGATGTGCCACAGGGATATTAAAGTGTATTTCTTCATTCTCAGAATGGAATGATCCTGGTGAGAAAGTGGTGGAGGCAGGCTAAAGAGTGGCAAGTTAAGAGGCAGGGCCAGGATCTGACAACTGACCCCTGCAACCACAAATGAGTGAATACAAATACACGAGTACACCCTTGCAACTGCAAATAGGTGAGTATACAGCCCCAGTCTTTGGAAGCAAGGAATATGAGCAGTTCATATTGAGAGAGAAATGGTTTAATCACCAAGCATCTGAACAACTTCTCTCCACGAGTTTTTTTTTTTTTTTTTTTTTTTTCAACAAGTCGGCCGTCTCCCACCGAGGCAGGGTGACCCAAAAAAGAAAGAAAATCCCCAAAAAGAAAATACTTTCATCATCATTCAACACTTTCACCACACTCGCACATTATCACTGTTTTTGCAGAGGTGCTCAGAATACAACAGTCTAGAAGCATACACATATAAAGATACACAACATATCCCTCCAAACTGCCAATATCCCAAACCCCTCCTTTAAAGTGCAGGCATTGTACTTCCCATTTCCAGACTCAAGTCCGACTATATGAAAATAACCGGTTTCCCTGAATCCCTTCACTAAATATTACCCTGCTCACACTCCAACAGATCGTCAGGTCCCAAGTATCATTCGTCTCCATTCACTCCTATCTAACACGCTCACGCACGCTTGCTGGAAGTCCAAGCCCCTTACCCACAAAACCTCCTTTACCCCCTCTCTCCAACCCTTTCGAGGACGACCCCTACCCCGCCTTCCTTCCCCTATAGATTTATATGCTTTCCATGTCATTCTACTTTGATCCATTCTCTCTAAATGACCAAACCACCTCAACAACCCCTCTTCTGCCCTCTGACTAATACTTTTATTAACTCCACACCTCCTAATTTCCACACTCCGAATTTTCTGCATAATATTTACACCACACATTGCCCTTAAACAGGACATCTCCACTGCCTCCAACCGTCTCCTCGCTGCTGCATTTACCACCCAAGCTTCACATCCATATAAGAGTGTTGGTACTACTATACTTTCATACATTCCCTTCTTTGCCTCCATAGATAACGTTTTTTGACTCCACATATACCTCAACGCACCACTCACCTTTTTTTCCCTCATCAATTCTATGATTAACCTCATCCTTCATAAATCCATCCGCCGACACGTCAACTCCCAAGTATCTGAAAACATTCACTTCTTCCATACTCCTCCTCCCCAATTTGATATCCAATTTTTCTTTATCTAAATCATTTGACACCCTCATCACCTTACTCTTTTCTATGTTCACTTTCAACTTTCTACCTTTACACACATTCCCAAACTCATCCACTAACCTTTGCAATTTTTCTTTAGAATCTCCCATAAGCACAGTATCATCAGCAAAAAGTAACTGTGTCAATTCCCATTTTGAATTTGATTCCCCATAATTTAATCCCACCCCTCTCCCAAACACCCTAGCATTTACTTCCTTTACAACCCCATCTATAAATATATTAAACAACCATGGTGACATTACACATCCCTGTCTAAGACCTAATTTTACCGGGAAGTAGTCTCCCTCTCTTCTACACACCCTAACCTGAGCCTCACTATCCTCATAAAAACTCTTTACAGCATTTAATAACTTACCACCTATTCCATATACTTGCAACATCTGCCACATTGCTCCTCTATCCACTCTATCATATGCCTTTTCTAAATCCATAAATGCAATAAAAACTTCCCTATCTTTATCTAAATACTGTTCACATATATGCTTCAATGTAAACACCTGATCTACACATCCCCTACCCACTCTAAAACCTCCTTGCTCATCCGCAATCCTACATTCTGTCTTACCTCTAATTCTTTCAATTATAACCCTACCGTACACTTTTCCTGGTATACTCAGTAAGCTTATTCCTCTATAATTTTTACAGTCTCTTTTGTCCCCTTTCCCTTTATATAAAGGGACTATACATGCTCTCTGCCAATCCCTAGGTACCTTCCCCTCTTTCATACATTTATTAAACAAAAGTACCAACCACTCCAACACTATATCCCCCCCTGCTTTTAACATTTCTGTCATGATCCCATCAGTTCCAGCTGCTTTACCCCCTTTCATTTTACGTAATGCCTCACGTACCTCCCCCACACTTACATTCTGCTCTTCTTCACTCCTAAAAGATGGTATACCTCCCTGACCAGTGCATGAAATTACTGCCTCTGTTTCTTCCTTAACATTTAAAAGTTCCTCAAAATATTCTCGCCATCTACCCAATACCTCCATCTCCCCATCTACTAACTCCCCTACTCTGTTTTTAACTGACAAATCCATATTTTCCCTAGGCTTTCTTAACTTGTTTAACTCACTCCAAAATTTTTTCTTATTTTCATTAAAATTTCTTGACAGTGCCTCTCCCACTCTATCATCTGCTCTCCTTTTGCACTCTCTCACCACTCTCTTTACCTTTCTTTTACTCTCCATATACTCTGCTCTTCTTATAACACTTCTGCTTTGTAAAAACCTCTCATAAGCTACCTTTTTCTCTTTTATCACACCCTTTACTTCATCATTCCACCAATCACTCCTCTTTCCTCCTGCCCCCACCCTCCTATAACCACAAACTTCTGCCCCACATTCTAATACTGCATTTTTAAAACTATTCCAACCCTCTTCAACCCCCCCCACTACTCATCTTTGCACTAGCCCACCTTTCTGCCAATAGACGCTTATATCTCACCCGAACTTCCTCCTCCCTTAGTTTATACACTTTCACCTCCCTCTTATTTGTTGTTGCCACCTTCCTCTTTTCCCATCTACCTCTTACTCTAACTGTAGCTACAACTAAATAATGATCCGATATATCAGTTGCCCCTCTATAAACATGTACATCCTGGAGCCTACCCATCAACCTTTTATCCACCAATACATAATCTAATAAACTACTTTCATTACGTGCTACATCATACCTTGTATATTTATTTATCCTCTTTTTCATAAAATATGTATTACTTATTACCAAATTTCTTTCTACACATAGCTCAATTAAAGGCTCCCCATTTACATTTACCCCTGGCACCCCAAATTTACCTACTATTCCTTCCATAACATTTTTACCCACTTTAGCATTGAAATCCCCAACCACCATTACTCTCACACTTGATTCAAAACTCCCCACGCATTCACTCAACATTTTCCAAAATCTCTCTCTCTCCTCTACACTTCTCTCTTCTCCAGGTGCATACACGCTTATTATAACCCACTTTTCACATCCAGTCTTTATTTTACTGCACATAATCCTTGAATTAATACATTTATAGTCCCTCTTTTCCTGCCATAGCTTATCCTTCAACATTATTGCTACTCCTTCTTTAGCTCTAACTCTATTTGAAACCCCTGACCTAATCCCATTTTTTCCTCTCCACTGAAACTCTCCCACCCCCTTCAATGTTTTCAATGTTTTCGTTAACAGAAGGCACAAGTGTTGCAAACTTATAATGGAGTTAAACTCTGAGTTCATTATCCTTCAGATCCATAATAAAAGCACAGTTAGGAAGGTCATATGCTCTCTTAGGGCTGCCCACTAACAGTCTGATGAAAATATCCAAAAAATTACAACTGAACTTACAACAGCCACAAGCTTATGGCTTATCCAACAATATCATTAGGCTCAGTTGTCACTACAGCCCATTTTGTCTTTCTCTTAATTGGCACCCAGTTTTGCAATGGCTACAAAGAGTTCTGGGAGTGTGGAACATCAGGCAAGGTAGATGTAACTGAATGTAATTATCAGTGCAAGAACTGTGTTTAGAACAGTTCATAGCTAACCCACAACTGGAGATGAAATAAGATGATGTCTCATTCTGGCCTGGATCATTAAGAGAGAGAGAGAAAAGGAAAGAAAGCTAAAAGTTCAATCAAGTGACTTGAGGTTAGGTCAAGTCGAGTACATTCTGAAGATTAGATACAGTATTTGACAAGGAACAAAAAACAATCCTATAATTTAAATATAAATAACTCACAAAAATTCAAGAAATGTTCAAATATTTTTATATGAACTGACAAGCAGTAAGTCCTTGATTTAATGAACTAATGGGGAAGTGAAGGGGAAGCAGAGGGTGGCTGGTAATGGTAATTATGGTGGATAGAAATTAAATTGTTTTGTTGTGATCATAATAATAATGGACAATTTTGTAACCATCTGACTGTACATGTATATTGTTTCTGAATCACGTGACCCAGCCAATTTTTTACCCATGATACTGAAGTCCATTAAATCAGGGGTGTACAGTATTACCAAAATTTCTTGGAAAGCACCCTAATTTTGGTTACAGGAATTTGGTATATGTATACCTACAGAATTGTATACATACTGTAAAAACACTTGAGCAACACTAGAACATTTTATTAGGAGACATTTCATTCAGTGGAAGCTTTATCAATCCAATACAAGGAATCAGAAAAAATAGCATACAGGTGTATCTCATTTTATGCTGTACATGCATTCTAGGACCTTGGCAGCTACACTGAGCTCAATCAGGCAATTATTATTATTATAATCAAAAAGAAGCGCTAAGCCACAAGGGCTATACAGCTCAATCAGGCAATAAATTCTTAATTCTGCATGATAAAGACTTAGCATGCTTTGTGAGCTGCACCAAGCACATGTGGAGAATACATATTCCAAATATGGAATTACTAATAGAATCTGTATATGTTGGTTAGGGCATCTGATTGTAGTGTTTTGTTAGGATAGCACCTAGTTGGCCAGCACACCTGAAATGCTGGAACTACCAGATTTGTCAGAAATGGCAATTAATGTTGATTCAAAGCTATGTCTTTCTACAAATCAGGTTTTGATAACAAGCCTGGCTTCTCCCATGTGAACTATGGTGAATCATGCATGCATTGTTCAACTCATCCTTGCTACAGGGATATTTATGCTCTTTAAGGTTTTGTTTCAGATTGTCATTTCTCTTGTATATACTTTATCACAGTCGCCACATGAGATGGTGTAAACCCCCGCACTGGATTCTAATGGTGCGGTAGAAGCCACCCTAATTAGGCCTTTGAAAGTAGTCAAATTGTGGCATTCAAAGAGTACATAACCTTTATTCGGCACATGTACACACCCTCATTGACAGGCTATCTCCCCTAACCAGCGAACCAGGGGCTAAGGGTTGACGATGGGGCCCCGTTGTTCAATCAGTACCCAGGTTCCAGCCAATGAGATGGTTTTGGCAATCGCAGAGGTGATGTGGGTACCACTCACCCGTCTGCCCTTGTCATTCCCATTCTAGAGCTGGTTGAAGCACAGTCTGCTCTCTAGTGGCTTCTATTCTGCCTTGCTTACTGTGGAGTGCACTAATACCTATTGTTATACATAGTGTATATAGTGTACAGACTTCTGTTCTAAATTGGTGAAGGATAATACAAGCCAAAAGTTTTTCTGCTGTGTTTATTTTGCTCCCTTTACACCCAGGATAACAGGCCTTTGGGACTCCTGGGTTGTAATACAAATGTTCTAGTGTTGCATAAGTGTCTTAATTACACAATATTTTTGCATAATATAAACAACAAAGTACTAAACAACCCTGTAAACAACCCAGTCCTTTGAACCACTGATGCATCTGTAGCCTACTAACTACTGCCTAAAGTATGGGTATGATTGCAAATTTCAAAGAAAAATATGTAACATTGTAAATATTCAAATTTTGATAAGTTTTCACTATCACTGTTTTTATGGTTACAGCAGTAATGATTTGTAACAAATTGTTACTGCTGCAACTTGCTTAGACTACAGTCATAGCTCAGCCACTGGATCCAGTGATTGGTATAGGGTTCACAGTAGTATCAAATCAATATGATCACTCTTCTTACTTTTTACAATAACTTTCTGAGGATTACAGACACAAAACAATATGGTAGGTATTTACTTCAAGTGTCAAACATCTTCAACTTTATTCAGAAATTCTAGGTACGTATGTTAATTAACTGCTAATCACCTAGCCCCTTTCAACAAGACATGCTGATGATGGTCTTTCCTCTAGCATGACCATTAATGACATAATGATATGCTTCTGGTGTTTCACCAAATGGGAAGACTTTATCAATCACTGGTCGAATCTGAAACGAAAGAGAAACAGTATTAAATAGATATATCTGACTCTATAAACATCAATCCAGCATTTGATTCATCATTATAAACCATCTAGACGAATGGAAAGCCAGAAACGATGAAGAAGAAAGAGACTGCTGTGGAAACTCCCGTGGAAACCTCCAACGCATTCTCGGTGCTACCCGACGAATGTGAGTCTACTACTGGGATCGTCACGACGAACGACAACAAGGAAGGTAAGAATATTGTTGTTGTTGGGGATAGCCAGGTTAGATACATGGATAGGGCATTCTGCTTGAAGGACAGGAGTAGGAGACAAAGGCTATGCTTTCCTGGGGCTGGGATGGAGGACATTGTTAGCTGGCTTGACAACATCATGAACGGTAATGGGATCAATCCTATTATTTGCCTCGGTGCTGGAGGCAATGATGTAGGCAAGCGTAGAAGTGAGGATTTAGTTAGAAAGTTCAGGACAGCTATAGACATGATTAGGAAGAAGGGGGGGCGCCCTGTTATATGTGGCATTTTTGCCAAGAAGAAGGTGTTGGTAATGAATGGTTGTCCAGAGCAATTGGTATTAATTGTTGGCTGGATAAACACTGTAAGGATAATGCAGTACCATTCATTGACAACTGGGACAACTTCTATGGCCGAAATGACATGTATGCCAGGGATGGGGTTCACTTATCCAGGGCAGGTGTGGGTTTTCTTGCTAACTCAGTTGAGGGGGTTGTTAGGACTTTAAACTAGGATTAGTTAGAGGTTGGGTTTAGAAATGATTAATAATGAGTATGGATATATTGACTTATGCTCTGATATTAAGAATCTTAATAGTAACTTGTCATGTAGTAACTCTGGGTAATGATAATTTCAGAAATTGTGAAAAAAACAAAGATGAATAGGAAAAATGTGCAGAAGAAAAAACATATGATGGTATTTTATGCTAACAGTCGAAGTGCAAGAAATAAAATTAATGAACTACGTTTGGTAGCATGTGCTGGGAACTTTGATATCATTGCATTAACTGAAACGTGGTATGATTTAAAGAGTCGGGATATGACTGCTGAGTGAATATTCAGGGATTTAAGTTGTTCAATGTGGATAGATGTAATGGGAAGGGGGGAGGAGTTTGCATTGTATGTTCGAGAAAATATTAATTGTTGCATAAAAACAGGTATAAAAAATAGATGGAGCAGTAACAGAGTCTGTTTGGGTAGAGTTCGTGGAGGGTCAAGAAAAACTAATTCTAGGTGTAATATACCGACCTCCAGGCTTGGATCACGATAGAGGGAGACTTCTTTGGGACGAAATTGTTAGGGCTTCTGGACACAGTAACGTAGTCATAGTAGGGGACTTTAACTTTAGCCAAATTGACTGGAATTCTTTGACAGGTAATCTAGAGTCCAGTGACTTCATGGAAACAGTTCAGGACTGTTTTCTGAAACAGAGTGTAACTGAACCTACCAGGGGTAATAATTTGCTAAACCTAGTCTTGTCAAATAAGGAAACACTCGTGAATAATCTGGAGATCACTGAAGAGCTTGGCGCAAGTGATCACAAATCCATCACCTTTAGCATTAATTGGGAATGCAAGAATAATGATAATACAGTAAAAATCCCCGATTTTCGTTCTGCCGATTATAATGGACTTAGGGAACATCTGTCTAATCTTGATTGGGGTTATCTAGCTAATGATTTTATTGACGATAATCATACTTATGAATAAGAAGGGATCTGCTTTTATGATTGTTTTCTCAATAATGTACACAGTGCCCAGAGTATATACATTCCCCAGAGAGAAATTAGGTCTAATAATAACGATCCCAAATGGGTTAACAGGAGGCTAAAGCATCTATTAGGGGAGAAAAGGGGAATTTATAGGCGCATCAGAAGAGGAGAGGTTAACCTTACTGACCAATATGTTCAGCTTAAACGAGAAGTAAAAAAGGCGATTAGAAAGGCTAAACGTGACTATGAAATTAGAGTCGCTAATGAATCAAAGTCTAATCCAAAGGGGTTCTTTCAAGTGTATAGGACGAAGGTGAAGGAAAAAGTAGGACCTCTGAAATCTGGGAATGGACAGCTGACGGATAATGAACTGGAAATGTGTTCCTTATTTAATGACTATTTTTTGTCAGTTTTTACACAGGAAGATGTAAATGAGATTCCAGTAATTAACAATTATTTAGTTCCTGATGAATTTAAGTTAACTAATATTACTGTCACGAGGGACATGGTTATTAAACAGATAGACAAAATGAAACAAAATAAGTCCCCGGGACCCGATGAGTTGTTTTCAAGGGTACTTAAGGAATGCAAGATGGAGCTTAGTCAGCCATTAACGAGTGTATTCAATGCGTCCATCCTTACCAGTGTTGTGCCAGAGATGTGGAAGATGGCTAATGTGGTTCCTATATTCAAATCAGGGGATAAGTCCACTCCTTCAAATTACCGTCCAATAAGCCTGACATCTATAGTGGGCAAGTTATTAGAATCAATTATAGCTGACATTATCAGAAGTCACCTTGAAGAGCATAACTTGATAAATGAATCTCAGCATGGATTCACGAGAGGTCGTTCCTGCCTGACAAACTTACTGACGTTCTTCAATAGAACATTTGAGGCAGTTGACAGTGATAAGGAATATGATATTGTTTATTTGGATTTTAGTAAAGCCTTCGACAGAGTACCTCACAAGAGACTCTTAAGAAAAGTGGCAGCTCATGGTATAGGAGGTAAAGTTCTAGCATGGATTGAGGCATGGCTTACCAATAGAAAGCAGAGAGTTACCATTAATGGAGTGAAATCTGAATGGGGATTAGTCACTAGTGGCGTTCCACAAGGATCAGTTTTAGGCCCTCTCTTGTTCATAATTTACATTAATGACCTTGATGAAGGGATTATGAGTGACATGAGTAAATCTGCTGATGATAAAAAGATAGGCCGTATAATTCACTCTGAGGAGGATATCAATGAACTCCAGGACGATTTGGACAAATTAATGTCTTGGTCTGAAAAATGGCAGATGAAGTTCAATGTGGATAAGTGTAAGGTACTTGCCCTTGGTAATGATAATAACCCTCGAAGCTATAATCTAGGTGAAGTAGAGCATGATCATACAGAATGTGAAAAAGACTTGGGAGTCATGGTAAGCAGAAATCTAAAGCCAAGACAGCAGTGCCTTAGTGTGCGCAACAAGGCCAACAGATTACTTGGATTTATCTCAAGAAGTATAAGTAACAGAAGTCCAAAAGTTATTTTGCAGCTCTATACATCACTAGTGAGGCCTCATTTAGATTATGCTGCTCAGTTTTGGTCTCCTTACTACAGGATGGATATAGACTCATTAGAGAGCATACAGAGAAGAATGACTAAAATGATTTACTGTGTAAGGAACCTCCCGTATGAAGATAGACTTAAAGCCTTAAATCTCCACTCTCTGGAGAGGCGTAGAACGAGAGGAGATATCATTGAAGTGTATAAGTGGATGACAGGCATAAACAAGGGAGATATTAATAAAGTACTGAGGGTGTCAAACCAGGTAAGAACCAGAAATAATGGATATAAGTTGGATAAATTTAGATTTAGAAAGGACATAGGTAAGTACTGGTTTTCTAACAGAGTTGTAGATGCGTGGAACAGTCTTCCTAGTGGGGTGATAGAGGCTAGGACCTTGTGTAGCTTTAAGAAGAGACTGGACAAATATATGAGTGGGAAGGGCTGGGTTTGATTCGTGTCATTGGGTACGGGAGTTATTTCTTGGGTGGCTTTAGGTAGAGATCGTTTTGATAAGGACCTGCCTCGTATGGGCCAGTAGGCCTTCTGCAGTGTTCCTACATTCTTATGTTCTTATGTTCATAAAACTCTTCCTATTTTCTAACACGAGTGCCCAATGATATTTCAGGATACATTAGGTTTTGAATATCTAAGAGTATCTCAGAGCATCATGGAACATCCAATGTGCCTGTGACACTGAAAAACAGACTTTTAGGCCAATAATACTGTATTCCTAAAATAGCCTAAAACTTTGGTTTCCAACATATCAGCTTACTTCCAGGGATTCAGCTGGTACCCCCATCCTTGAATTTTTTTACTTTTTAGGTCACCAAGGTAGGGTGACCCAAAAAAGAAACTTTCACAATCATTCACACTATCACTGTCTTACCAGAAGCATGCAAATACAACAGTTCAGATATCCCTCTAAACAGAAAATATCCCAAACCCCTCTTTCAGAGTGCAGGCACTGTACTTATATTAAACAGGTAAATGACTATATATAATAACAACTGTACTGGAAGTTAGTTGAGCAGTTAATTCTTGCAGCTCAATGTAAGAACTACATATATTGCTAAAACTAGCTTCTCAATTCATGTTGTACTTTTGGACAAGAAAATTCTTAGGCATCCTCTAAGTATACCAGGACATGATATTGAGTTTTTCTATGTAGGTGCCAATTTGCCATTTTTTGAAGAAATTAGGATATTAGTTTCCATGAGATGTATCTGTACTATTTGTGTGTGTGTGTGGGGGGGAACCATTAAGGAAAAGGGTCTGGACTTTTGGAATACTACAGGGATACATTTTTCAGCAATCAAAATACATTAGTTCTTTCAGTGGCTCACTCTAGATTGCATATTTTCCTGTGACAATGTATCACAGTGTGGAAGAGCTTCACATTTTAATCACTGCCAAACTCTTGGTATAATACATGGAAAAGCCAGGTATTAAGGACATTGGGTTTAATATCATTTACCATTATCATCTAAGACACTCTGTGGCAACTAAGACACTCATGGGAGTGTCTTAGATGCCACAGCATAGTGATGAATAATGAAGATAAATTTTTGCTTGGAATGTCACATGTTTGCCAAACATCACGAGTGCTTCTTCAGTTGTGCATGCATGCACACACATACACAGATCCTACATCCAACTTCTTTCCTGATACTTTGTATGTTCATTACTTTAAGAAATGTCTGCAAATATCTTTTGTATAATAATTATTTTTTTTTATATCTTCAGCACTTGCATTATGAAGTGAACACCTATACCTTTGCTGCAGCCTGTTTTAGAGATAAATCTGTATATGAAGGATGAGGTAAACAATAGAACTGACAAAGCAAAAAGGTGGATGGTGTACTGAGGCATCTGTGGAGACAAAGAACATTATCCATGGAGTCAAAGCAGAGAATGTATGAGAGTACAGTGGTACTAACACTCTTATATGGGTGAAGTGTGGGTTATGAATGTTGCAGCAAGAAGGAGGCTAGACACAATGGAGATGTTGTGTCCATGGGCAATGTGTGGCATAAATATTATGCAGAGAATTCATAGTGCAGAAATTAGGAGGTGTGGAGTTACTGAAAGTATTATTCAGAGGGCTTAGGAGGTAGTTTGGTCATTTAGAGAGATGGAGCAAAACAGGACAACTTGGAAGGTAAGTGTAAGCAGAAGTACCAAGATGTACATAAAATCTTGCATGTTTATGAAACAGAAAAGAAAGACACCAACAATCCTACCATCATGTAAAGTAATTACAGGCTTCTGTTTTACACTCATTTGGCAGGACGGTAGTACCTCCCTGTGTGAATGCTGTCTACCAACCTACTACCCCTACTACCTAAACCACAAACCTTTACTCTTTAATTAATTTTATAACTCACTGAGGCTCAAATTAACATGGATAATAGCTTCTTAAAAAAAATAAGGCATAAGAGCAATTTCATAAAGAAAAATAACAATTTAACTTTAAACAAATACTCAAATTATTTCAGTTAAACAAAATCCCAAAATCCCAAACTGATAATGGAGACACGGGATCTTACCTTGTGGCTGGCTAACATTTCTGTGATTTGTTTTAGGGCATTTGGGTTGGGCATAAAGAAACACCATCTGTAAGTTCGACCTTCTGACAAGGCGGCTGCATTCTTGCACAAGAGGTCTTTTGCACTCTGGAAAATGTTGTACCAAGAAGCATGAACTGATTAGTTTCCAATGAATGCAGGAGGTGTTTTAATTACACAAAAGTTTTATGTCAATAACCTGCTGTTTATGAGAGAGTTTTATACGATATCAATATGTATTGACAATCCTGGATAATGACATTAGAGAAGGGACACAGAAACAAGGGGTCACAGTTGGAAGTTGAAGACTCAGATGACTCAAAGGGATGTTAGGAAGTATTTCTTCAGTTAAAGAGTTGTCAGAAAGTGGGATAGTCTGGCAAGTGATGTAGTGGAGGCAGGAACCATACATAGTTTTAAGATGAGGTATGATAAAGCTCATGGAGCAGGGAGAGAGAGAGGACCTAGTAGCGACCAGTGAAGAGGCAGGGACAGGAGCTGAGTCTCGACCCCTGCAACCACAATTAGGCAAGTAGTAGTGGATAATATAACAAGACAAAGCATAATATTAGCACACAATAAATCTCACTTGATATATACCAAACACAGATGAAGAAATACCTTAAAGAGGCCATTCACCATTCCCATGTCATCTATATTTCGTAACAAGGGAGGGGAGAGGGTAACATAGGAAGCTCCCATCCAGGGCTTCAATGCTTTCATGTAGTCTATGTCATTTACACCAGAGGCATTAATCACAAGATCAAAACTGTTAAAAGAAGAAATATTATGATACACTTAACACAATAACATGGCTCATCTTGTGAAGTCTCACATTTATACTAGCAACTAGTCTTGATAAATGACCACATTGTTGCCCTGAACAATGCAGGATCATTAATTTGCATGGGGCCATTTTTATTTTCAAACCTGAATTAGATACTCACTAAAATATTGCCATTACTGGCAAAGGGAAAACAGTCAGATACAAAACTAACATCAAAACAAACTAAAGTACAAAATGTAATGTGAGTGCTAGGTATTCTTTACTACTCGACACAACTTGGTAGCAAGAGCCTGGTTTACCACTCAAGTCAACAATGACGCCTGGTGTAATGCTAGACTCTAAGAGTAGAATAACTCTTGAAACCAATCACCAGTACTGTTCAGTACCCTTGTTCATGCATGTATGTACTACTAATTTTTTCCTTTCATATCTTTATGTATAGGAATAACATCCAAAACTACCTTGCCTCTATGTATGGCATGTCTGACCAATCCCAAGAATTTATAAAAGCTTACACAATAAGTATTTTTCCTCACCCTCCATCTGCAATAAGCATATCCTTGGTAGCTGGATCTCTGTAATCCAAAGCTTCTACACCAAAACTTGCCACCATTTCTTGTGCATCTGACCGACAGAGGCCAACAACCTATAATACACAATGCAAACACTTTTAGAAGAATTACTATAAAATATGCATTTTTAGCTGAACCTAGCAGCTACCATGTATATCAAGACGTAATCCAGCATTATAATTATTATTATATTTTGAGGAAATAGCTAAACCTGTAGGGGTCACAAAGTGCCAAGGAAATGGGAGACAATCATGACTGATCCAAGAAAAGGGAGGACAAATCCAATTCTTTGAATTAAGAGCCTCTCACCATCAAGGAAAGTAATCAACAGCTCCCACAATTTCTACCCACTAAAGTGTCCAATTTAACAAGGTACTCTTGCCTAAAAAAACTGCTGTATAGTACAGTGGTACCTCGAGTTACGAACTTAATTCTTTCCGGAAGGCTGTTTGAGTGCCGATACTGAACGACTTTGTTCCCATGAGGAATAATGTAAATTAGGTTAGTCAGTTTCAGACCCTCAAAAATACACTTACATAATTGTTCGAGTTGGGAACTGTTTGAAACTTGACGTACCACTGTATAGTAATTCTAAAAATAAAAGATAGTATAGTAATTCTAAAAATAAAAGATACAGTATCTTTATGTTAAGTACTACAGTAGTTTATTAATGCAGAAGTAACAATTACAGCATAATATAATAAGACACTGATAACATTTTTATACTGTACTATGTACAGCAATATCCTTTTATATTGTAAGATTTGCAAAAAATAAAAAAAAAAAATTAAGAATACCTGAGTTTCCCATACTGAAAGAAGCTGACAGAGGAAGGTGCCCACACCACCTGAGGCCCCAATAACCAAGACACGTGACCGTGGTGCTGTACCGGCTGTCAGCATGCCAGACACCGTCACAGCACTCCATGCCACCAGCCCAGTGTATGGGATGGATGCAGCCTCTTCAGCACTAACATTCTCAGGCACTAGACAAACCTGTCACATAAACAAATGCTTATAATTAATCAACCATCAGGTACTTACCAGATTCATATCCTTATTTAGTTAAAGGAAATTCCTATAGCTTGAAAATAGAAATTAATGCAGTTTACAGGAAAAAATCAATTTTGAAAAAATATTTTAATGAATTTATAATACTAGTTATTTTTAAATTATTTTTGTAAAATAAAAAATAGGCATGTTTATTTTGTGTAGTGTTGATCAATTCTTTTTTTAATTCGCTCATGGGACAAATTATGTAAGTATAATTATTCATATTTAAAAATCAATTTTTTTCCAGACATAGTAACATACATTTAAAATGAGAATATTTAATGGTACGAATTCTTTAACACATCAATTATGAATTTACAGTGCTTCACTAGCTTAGTTACAATGTTTCACTAGCTAAGTTACAATGGTTCACTAGCTAAGTTACAATGTTTCACTAGCTAAGTCACCTTCTGATTCCTGAATCAGAGGAAATAAAAAAAAGTAAGGGAAGAGTGGCCCCCCATTTTTTTTTTTTTTTGACAGACCCGTGTCATTAGAGTACTATACTCTGATTTATGGGTTTGTGCTAAATCCATAAGGGTAGCATTGTAGCTTTCCACAGAATAAAAATATATACAGTATACCACTGCCTAAAAAGAAAGTTAAAGCAAAACAGGCCATGGCAATTATCACCACTCAGGAAGAACTGCTATGGAATCAGGGACATAAGAAAACAACAATGTTACTGAGGTATGTTAACTAGAGAAGACCTTTTGCAAGCGTGAATAAAATGTGAGGAAGAAAAAAAAATTTTTTCTAAAGAAACAGGGCTGAACTTACTACCAAAGGGCTTACCAAGAAATATACAGAGGTAATAGAAATGCCCTCATTGGAAGACAGGAAATATTGTACACTACATAAATTTAAAAATAGGTGATGGGGAGGACTTCCTCATGCCATCTATAACAACAATAGATCATAAGTTAAACTACACGAAAAAGCAATGAAGAGATATTAAAAAAAATATTTTACACAGAGTAAAATTTTTTTTTTTTTATTATCACACTGGCCGATTCCCACCAAGGCAGGGTGGCCCGAAAAAGAAAAACTTTCACCATCATTCACTCCATCACTGTCTTGCCAGAAGGGTGCTTTACACTACAGTTTTTAAACTGCAACATTAACACCCCTCCTTCAGAGTGCAGGCACTGTACTTCCCATCTCCAGGACTCAAGTCCGGCCTGCCGGTTTCCCTGAACCCCTTCATAAATGTTACTTTGCTCACACTCCAACAGCACGTCAAGTATTAAAAACCATTTGTCTCCATTCACTCCTATCAAACACGCTCACACATGCCTGCTGGAAGTCCAAGCCCCTCGCACACAAAACCTCCTTTACCCCCTCTCTCCAACCTTTCCTAGGCCGACCCCTACCCCGCCTTCCTTCCACTACAGACTGATACACTCTTGAGGTCATTCTGTTTCGCTCCATTCTCTCTACATGTCCGAACCACCTCAACAGCCCTTCCTCAGCCCTCTGGACAACAGTTTTGGTAATCCTGCACCTCCTCCTAACTTCCAAACTATGAATTCTCTGCATTATATTCACACCACACATTGCCCTAAGACATGACATCTCCACTGCCTCCAGCCTTCTTCTCACTGCAACATTCATCACCCATGCTTCACACCCATATAAGAGCGTTGGTAAAACTATACTCTCATACATTCCCCTCTTTGCCTCCAAGGACAAAGTTCTTTGTCTCCACAGACTCCTAAGTGCACCACTCACTCTTTTCCCCTCATCAATTCTATGATTCACCTTATCTTTCATAGACCCATCCGCTGACACGTCCACTCCCAAATATCTGAATACATTCACCTCCTCCATACTCTCTCCCTCCAATCTGATATTCAATCTTTCATCACCTAATCTTTTTGTTATCCTCATAACCTTACTCTTTCCTGTATTCACCTTTAATTTTCTTCTTGTGCACACCCTACCAAATTCATCCACCAATCTCTGCAATTTCTCTTCAGAATCTCCCAAGAGCACAGTGTCATCAGCAAAGAGCAGCTGTGACAACTCCCACTTTGTGTGTGATTCTTTATCTTTTAACTCCACGCCTCTTGCCAAGACCCTCGCATTTACTTCTCTTACAACCCTATCTATAAATATATTAAACAACCACGGTGACATCACACATCCTTGTCTAAGGCCTACTTTTACTGGGAAATAATTTCCCTCTTTCCTACATACTCTAACTTGAGCCTCACTATCCTCGTAAAAACTCTTCACTGCTTTCAGTAACCTACCTCCTACACCATACACTTGCAACATCTGCCACATTGCCCCCCTATCCACCCTGTCATACGCCTTTTCCAAATCCATAAATGCCACAAAGACCTCTTTAGCCTTATCTAAATACTGTTCACTTATATGTTTCACTGTAAACACCTGGTCCACACACCCCCTACCTTTCCTAAAGCCTCTTGTTCATCTGCTATCCTATTCTCCATCTTACTCTTAATTCTTTCAATAATAACTCTACCATACACTTTACCAGGTATACTCAGCAGACTTATCCCCCTATAATTTTTGCACTCTCTTTTATCCCCTTTGCCTTTATACAAAGGAACTATGCATGCTCTCTGCCAATCCCTAGGTACCTTACCCTCTTCCATACATTTATTAAATAATTGCACCAACCACTCCAAAACTATATCCCCACCTGCTTTTAACATTTCTATCTTTATCCCATCAATCCCGGCTGCCTTACCCCCTTTCATTTTACCTACTGCCTCACGAACTTCCTCCACACTCACAACTGGCTCTTCCTCACTCCTACAAGATGTTATTCCTCCTTGTCCTATACACGAAATCACAGCTTCCCTATCTTCATCAACATTTAACAATTCCTCAAAATATTCCCTCCATCTTCCCAATACCTCTAACTCTCCATTTAATAACTCGCCTCTCCTATTTTTAACTGACAAATCCATTTGTTCTCTAGGCTTTCTTAACTTGTTAATCTCACTCCAAAACTTTTTCTTATTTTCAATAAAATTTGCTGATAACATCTCACCCACTCTCTCATTTGCTCCTTTTTTACATTGCTTCACCACTCTCTTAACCTCTCTCTTTTTCTCCATATACTCTTCCCTCCTTGCATCACTTCTACTTTGTAAAAACTTCTCATATGCTAACTTTTTCTCCCTTACTACTCTCTTTACATCATCATTCCACCAATCGCTCCTCTTCCCTCCCGCACCCACTTTCCTGTAACCACAAACTTCTGCTGAACACTAACACTACATTTTTAAACCTACCCCATACCTCTTCGACCCCATTGTCTATGCTCTCATTAGCCCATCTATCCATTGGAAATTTTATAAAGTGTATACAACAAAGTTATAACAGAAGACACAATGCCACAAGCAAATATGTAATTATACACACAAAAAAAAATCTTGAAGGTTCAAAGATTTTCCTATAGATATTTTACTAAAATGATAATTGAACTGCTTTTCTCCTTACATTACATGCTGAAGTCACAACATACTCTGCATGTGAGCCTTGATTTTGTGGGCTGACCACACCAAACACTTTATCCCCAATTTTCACAGTCTTCACTCCCTGACCCACATACACCACCTCTCCTGCAAAGTCTCGCCCAGCTGAAAAATTCAAAACATGTTCGTAAATATATTCAGGGGAATAATAAGTTGTAAGGTTTCAGGGGGGATTGGAAAGAAATCGGGTTTTAATCCAACCAAAGGAAAGATGACTGTTTCCCTTTGAATCAGAGCCTTCCCAGCTCAAGGCATTCATTCCTTGATGGAATGGGACAACTGGAGTCAAAGATAATCGCCCTTTAAACCCCTTTTTCAGGTTACGGGCCCTCTCGAGATTTGTTCTGGGGTGCCCATTTTTAAAAAAAAAAAAAAAAAAAAAATTTCATGAAAAGATAGAAAACTTTTCCCGACAAAATGACCCCAAAAGTATAAAATTTTGATGGAAAACTTACGGAATTAGCTCTCGCAAGTTAGCGGTCCGACGATTTTTATCATCGGTTTTGCCCACTTTGAGCCCTATTTTGGGCCCAAATTCCCCACTGTACTCGCGACAAAAACATGAATTTTCGCTTAGAATCCATTTTTTCTATCGAATGAGTGCAAGAAAAACCAAACCCTTTACCGTTTCAACTATCCAATAAGTGGTCGGAATTTAGCAATTTTGCCAATTTCACACAAATTTTTAAAAATGCCCAATTTCCAAATGGGTCCAGAAAAAAAACAAGAAAAACATTCCATGGACTAAAAGACATTTCCCCTTTTTATTAGTCTGCCCAACACCCCTCTCACTTCTTTTGCTTTCCACTTTTTTTTATTCTCAAAAAAATAGATTTACTGTTATGCAGATACTGCATTAGTGTTAAAAAAAAGGTATAAATAATTTAGTGCACTTTCGAAAAAATTTAAACTCACCAGTTGACGTGTATTTGGGTGCTTAGCATGATTTGTTTACTTTTTAACTTTGGTAAAAAACGAACATTTCTGATACTTTTGGTCAATTTTTAAATACTTTTCATTGTAAAATCAGTCAAAATCTCTCAATTCCTTAACATGTCTTCCCTTTTATACAAGAGACCCGGAAAAAATGAACACAACAATAAATACCATACAAAATACAGTGCAAAGCGCTGTTTTAAACCAAAAACACGGGCAAAATTTTTTTTTTTTTTCATTTCGCACTGTTGCTGAAGGATTTTTTTTATACTGCGACACTGCCACATAGACCCATTCTTTCATATGTAGGCACAGCTTTCTCTCACTAGATTTTAGGGCGTAGAATTTAGGGTATAGTAGTCAAAAAAAACCCGTGCGTAAGCCCTATATACGGCCGAAACCCTGAAAGGGTTAATGTCAGTTTTTATATAGCAAAAAAAAATTTGAATCCATATTTCAGCCCCCCTTTACCCTCTCCCTTTTTTAAAATATTCATCAGTTAAAAAAAATTTAAAATTTCAGAAAATAATACACTATTTTTTTATAATGTCTGAATCATTTGATTTATTTCAGGTTCAGTAAGTCATATTTTTTAAAATTTAGAAAAAAGTTTGACCTGTTATGATAAAATATATTAAACTCCTAGTACTGACCTGTTAATGGGAATTCCACTTGGTTTTTATCAAAAACCCTTGTTAAACGTCCCATTGCCGCATGGTATTGGGATTCCACCTAACCTCCCGAAATTATTCATTTATGTGATTGTCAATCATTGAATCATGCCAAAATACTCCATTTCATTCTTACCCTATATTAATTTTTCCCTACTTTTATGATTATTGCATAATTGGGTTTTTTGCAAAAAAACACGGTGTACGCTGTTATTTATTTTGGGAAAAAGATATATGTAATGTATATTCTTTTACTTAATGGTATTTAAATTTTTTTTTTTTTGTACAGAGAATCCCTAATATGCATTAGTTTTATTTATGCCAAAATGAAGAAAGATGACTTTATAAAGGCCACAGTCTTCATACAAAGTAAATGAACAAAACATTAATAATTACTGATTAGCCGTGTCAATTGGGGATTTACAGAGGCAGCATAAAACTCGTAAAAGCAGATCCCCGGGTTTGAAAAAACTGGTGGGTCCTCACAGAGCAAAGTGCAACCCATCAACCCCATAAAAAAATTAGATCCCTCCCAAAAGCTCTCTCCTCAGCCCACTTGCCGACTCAGCCTGTGCAAACATGGAAATTTTCTTGCCCCTAGAAAATATTAACCAAAAATCCTTCAATAACTTACAGTGTTGAAATTTTATTTGGCAGCTCATGCACCCTAGAACCTGATTAAGTCAGTGATAGGTTAAAATAGAGGAAATTGTGAGGTACAGAAAACACTAAAGAAGTTAACTGTACTAAAGTATTTGTTTCATCTTTCTGGGGACCCTACAATGGATTGAAATACGTATTTTTCTTTGGACATTGAGTGAAAAATCTATTTTCAGTACTTTAAATCATTCTGCGAATGAAAAGTAACATGTATAGTTCTGTGCCTTCCTTTTGAAAAAAACCTTTCATTAATATCTGGTAATGTCTTTTTTAAGACAAATATAAAAAAACCTCGCCACAAAAGTGGTTATGACAAAGACAGCGAGAACCCGTCTGAAGAAATCCTGCATGACATCTTTTTCAAAACACTGGGGGGGAAGAAACTAGAAATAACAAGACTTGCCCAGTAAGTTTGCCTTACTTGCTGCACTCCAACCCTTTTTATGTATGTTGTCCAGAACTGAAAAATAGTTAAGGAATAAGTTATTTCTAAATTTGAGTTTATATGTTAGTTTCGAATCTAAAATATGTTTTTTTTTAAAAGAGGGAAAAAAAAGAAGAAAAAGAAAAAGAAGAGGAAACAGAAGAACAGTAGTACTGTAGTAAGGTAAAGGGAAAGGCAAAGGTAAGAGTAAAAGCAAGGTAATGGGGAATAAGTAGAATATTTAGGGAAAGTGCTAAATCAGTAGGGGTCATAATGCACCTGGGGAATATAGAATGCAATCAGGAGAATAAGGCCAATTCCTTGGATCAAAAGCACCTCACCAGTATCAAAGAACCTCTTTTGAGGGGACCTAAAATATAAAAACGATTTTTTTCTATAAAATATTTGCAATTAATATAACATCCACGATTAATTAAAGATTTAAATGCAGTTTCTGTTATAATTTATATTTTCAAAAACACATTACGGTACAACATTCACCAGTCTTATAAGATTGCATTAACAATAATATACCTTTCTTAAAGTAACCCAGTCTTCAAGATTAAAAACATTTTCCAAGAACAGAGTGACTATAAATAATAAAAAATGAATGATACAGACACAATATATACTTCTATTTGCTAAGAGAAACAAAAAATAACACTGGCTGGGTCTACCAATATTTCTGAAATTGTCTATTACATTCGTGGGGGGAGAAAGTGCTAAACCCGTTGGAGTCATATAGCACCTGGGAAAGTGGGAGTCATTGAAGATCGATCCAAGGTAAGGGATCACTGGTCCAATTCCTTAAACCAAGAGCACCTCGCCTACATCAAGGAACACCTCTGGTAGGGTGAACTGTGTTAGTCGATAAATTTATCAGTGACAATAGATAAGACACGCGTTTATTCGACCGAAATTATACATAAGATTACATTATCTTTGAAACGTATAGAAATAGTGGGTCAATTATTATTAATTATAACAGAAACTAACTAAAAATTAAAAATGTAGGTTTTCCTCTTCGTGTTGGGTTTTTTAGGGCCACTGACAGCTTAACACCGTATCGAGCACCGCCTTCCGGTATCCAGGGGACAATGTGAAGTTATAACCTCCTACTACTCTAAATCCAAATGACTTCCATAATAATCATAAGTCTTATAAAAACCATACCTATTACAATGATTCTAAACTTCGAACATTGAAACGTTGTCGCAGGTTTTTGGCCCTAGCCTTAAAAAACCATCTTTCCCCTGAAATGCTGAGCCTCTTCTGGGGCTTTTTTGGGGTTACCCTGGGTTTCTTTTACACATATGCTGTATGATGATAATTTATGAAAACTGTATTTGTGTTTTCCTGAAAAAACTTATTTACTTATTACTTATTTAACTGCCCTTGCTGCGCCAGAGAGCGTAGGGACAGACGGGCGGCAAACGGGAGGGGAAACCAAATTTGTCTATGGGTCTAAATGCTCACCCCCAATTGCCGGATAGGGGAGGGACATAAAAAAATTAAATTTGAAACAGAACTGGGCAGTCGCGCCCCCTTTCTTTCCCTTGATAGGGGGGAATGATTTTGTCAGTGCTTGGGCTCCCTACATCTAGTAGGGAACAGTTTTCCCCAGTACCACACAGGCAAAATTTTAAGGGGAAAAATTGATGCAAGGGAGGGACTTGTTTGTTTTATGTTTCAGAAAGGGGCGATGCTGCAACATTCCTTTCATAATTATGTATTTGATGCAGCCCTAATTTAAGGGAAAAACCCCCAGGGTGCCGGGGTGGGATGGTTTTATTAAACAACATACTCAGATTGCTGTTTTCGTAGACGGTAATCCTTTACTTGAATTATAAAACTTTAAATTTAAATGTCCCTGGGGGGGCCCCCAAAATTCATGAAACAACCCCTCTTTTTCCCAAATTCCGAACCCCAATCAGAAAAAACTCTTTTTCCCCCAATTTTTCCCCTTAAATAGCTGTTGTTTTAAAAATTTGAAAAAGGATTTTTTTTAAATTTTCCGTTCTTAGGGCAAAAAAAAAAAAGGGAAAATTTTTTGTCCCCCCGGGTTGCATGGCTTCTTTCCCAGGGAAAGGGAAAGTGTGCATCTTGTTTACCACCTTTCTCACTCTGCACACTGCCAGCTCATTAACACTCCCCTTCCCTTTTGACCTTAAATCCGCTTTTGTTGTACCAAAACCGCATGTAATCTTTAAAGTAAATTGCCAGAATGGTTTTGGAGGAGGGCTTCTCCGTGGATTAAAGGTTCCCTGTCAACAAAAATTTCTTTCTGTGTTGTTCCAGGGACTTAGAAGTGTAACTAAAGATTTTGAATTAGGAACCCCACAGGGAGGTGTTTCTTAGTCCCCCCCTTTTCAAAAATTTTGATTAAAGCCTTTTTTTAATGCCATGCCTAGCCCGCCCCATCATTATATGGTTGTTTTGCGGGTGACAAAAGATTCACCCACCGGATTCTCCAACCCCAAAAAAAATTCTTAATCTTTTACTAGGCCCCGTGTCAGGAACCCTTGGGTTTAAAATTCTCAGGGATTAAAAACAAAGATACTCAAAAGGCGTCCTCCTTTGACGGGGGGGGGCCCAGTTCCCTCGATCCCGTTGCATGTGGGTCTCTTTTTAGAATATGTAAGCAATACAGTTCTTGGTTTGAGGTTCCCCTCTTGGACCTGTTGTAACGGGGGGCTTTGTTCGCCAATAAAAAAAAGGGTGAAAAGCACTTAGAGTTGTGGCAGGTTTTCATCCCAGGGGTTGGGGGTAAAGTTTAAAAAAGGTTTAAAATGAAAGTATCTTGCTTATATTTTAAACATTGGTTGATTAAGCGGCACCCTACTTGCACTTTGTCTAACGGGGAAACTTGGGGGGGCTGGAAAAAAATTTCAAAAGAAGGGAATTTGGAATCATCCCAGGGGGCCCCCCGTATGCCAAAAATTTTTTAAATATGCGGAAAGGAAATTAATATTCCCCAAACATTAGAGACGTGTTTCTGAAAGAAAAATCCTTTTTGGGGTTCCCAAAACGCTTTGGCTAGGCCCCTTCAAACCCCCCGCACAGAAGCCCTCCAAATTTCCTCAGCCCCTGGGTGAAAAATTTTCCAGATGGGTCGAAAAAATGGGAAGACTCCCCATGAACCCGCTCATGTTTTTTATCAAGTTAGCAAAAAGAGAATTTTCCCCCCTCTGGGATATTACCCCTTCAAACTACCCCTTCCCCCATTTCCCCCCCAAAAAATCTTCTTAAATTTACAACCAAAACTTCGTTTGAAGCCAAACTGATGCCTTTTGCTGTATTTATAACTTGTCACACAGAACACTCTTTCACCAAAAATTTTTTACGTCGGTTTTTTCTGTTCACCCGTCCATGGTGCAGCTGGTCTGCTGCTGTTGTCACACAGGTGGGTGGGCTCTCATAAAGAAAAAAAGGGGCAAACCCTTTAATAAATGGGCCTTACCCCTTTAAACGAAAATGTTTGCCCAAATCCCTTTCATCAAAATTTTTGTCCAGGGATCTAAAAGGGTTTCCTTTAATTGGGAAATGATTCTCTGTCATCCATAAATGCCCCCAACTCCCTTAAGTATAAAATTTTGGCATGTTGTGGTCAGAAGCCAAAACCCAGGGATGGTAAAATTGTGGCAGTTGGGGTCAGATGACATGTGGGGATTCCATCTCACATTGGTCTTCAGTTTCATGTTAGAACAGGTTAAAAATGGGTAAAACTGTAAGCTTTCAAGAGGGGGGAGAAATTTCCAAATTTTGGGGTTTTCAGTTTTGCGTTTGAGAACCCAAAAATCCCCAAAAAGAAAATTCAAAGAACTTTATTGACTTAAGCCCTTTGGGGGGATTGACACAAGCAGTCCATCTTCATCACCCCATCATGCAGGAGGAGTCACTGTCTAGGGTGAAACAAGTAAGCAGATCTTGGATTTCATACCCCCCGGGCTCCG